AATAAAAGAAAAACTCGATGGAACGCTTTCAAACATCAAGCGAAGCAGAGCAAAATCGTTGGGGTTGAAGAAGGAGAAGAAGGAGGAAGAGGATGGGGGGGTTGAGAGGGAGCAATCGGATTTGAATCAAACTAATTTCATACCTATGATGGATGTGGCTGATAATGCTGGGCATACTGAAGATGATGATGAGGATGGTTATGACGATGCTGATGATGAACTTTTTGTAGATAGTGAAAATATCTCACCGGCTGCAATACATGATTACGTTGATCAGTATCCTGCGATGGCTCAAAAATATCTGACTGAATACTGGACAAATGATGAAAATATCGATACGGTTTATGGTCCCAAATATGATCCAGTAACATCGAAATGGTCTCTCAACGGAAAAGAAATGAATTTCCATCGAATAACTGGAGATATACTTCTTGATGGCTTTCGGTTCCGTGGCACCCCAGGCCTCTATCAATTACTCTTCTATAATGATCCATCCTTTGCCAAAGATGATACGAACCCATACAAGCAAATACTCTTGCTCACCAAAGCTCATCTGAATTCTGCAGGACGTATGAAGTCCTCCTCTAGACTCAAATACGTAGAAATTATTCGTCCAATGTTCAGATCCAATTCCAGTGGTCGTGGTTTGAAGTTGACATACAACACAGCACCTATCGAATACATGTATTGGGATGATCCAAATGAATTGGTAGATAGATTGAAGTTGCTCATTGCATCACAGCAAGCCGGAAATACATCAAACGATAACGAGATTGTTGCCATCTTGAACGAATTAGAAGAGGCAGGCATAATAAAACATGTGTAACATTTCTGTGATACTTCCGTGACACTTCCATGACAACTTCCGTGACAGTTCCATGACACTTCCTTGACACTTCCATGACAGTTCCGTGACAGTTCCGTGACACTTCCTTGACACTTCCGTGACAGTTCCGTGACACTTCCTTGACACTTCTGTGACACTTTCATGGCATGTCTATGAGTGAAGGGGCTAATAATTGGCGAGGCAAAGTGCCGACCATTATCGATAACGTACAATACTTTAGTCATTAGCATAATGAGTCTCGACAAATTCGGACGTGGTTCGTTTCCACGCTCAGCTCAGATGGTGACAGTCAGATCTGGATTTTCACATACTCCAACCGGTGATATTGATGTTGGTCATTTGAAGATGTGTAACGTAAAACTGCCAACAGATGTCGCTGATGTTGCAAACAAACAATATGTGGATGAAGTTATATCGCAAATAAAGTTAGATTTCAAGATTGCTTTCGATAATTACGGTGAAAAAATCCGAAATTACCTTGCTGGCTTCAGCAACGAAATTATCGATGTACGAAAGAGAGTGGATTCTCATGATCTCAAACTGGCAACGTACAATACAAACTTTGTTCAGTTGTCTGGCATAGTGCACAAGATCAACATACATGTGGAGCAGCTTCGCAACAACTCTCTACCAAAACTCAAAAGCGACATCGACTTGAATGTGAAAAATATTCTAGAACTTGTCGATAAGATTGACAACACTGTGAAGAGTTTGCACGATTTGAAGGCTGAGCAACAACACAGTCGTGATAAAGAACGCCAGCTTGCTGATGTCATTGATCAAATGAAAAAAGATCTGGCCAAGATTGCCATCACTCCAAAATCTACGACAACACCACCGCCACCAAAAAGGAAGCCCCCTGTGTGAAACCCATCATATAAACTCCTAATCCAACGAAGTCAATATGTCACATTCTAAAGAAAAAATCCAACTCGTCAATGAATTACATAGACCTGCTAGGAAAAAATTTCCAAGGCGTCGCATTATCATCAAAGGTTTGGATGACTTATGGCAAATGGATCTAGCCGAAATGCGACCTTATGCCTCTGTAAATAAGGATCACAAGCTGATAATGGTCGTGATTGATTGTTTTTCCAAGTACCTATGGACTAGACCACTAAAATCAAAAACTGGTGCTGAAATCGCTCGTGCATTTGCTGATATTCTATCGCATGCCAACAACAGAATTCCCAAGAATTTGCAAACCGATCAAGGTACCGAATTCTACAACGAAAAGTTTCAAAGTCTGATGAAAAAGTTCTCCATCAACCATTATCATACGTACACCATAATGAAGGCAGCCATTGCTGAACGTGTTATACGAACATTGAAGGAAAAACTGTACAAATTCTTTAGTTTGAATGGCTCATACCGTTGGATAGATGTCCTGCCTGAAATCACGAAAAATTATAATAACACGAAACATACGACAATAAGATGCAAGCCCAGTGATGTCACCAAAGCCAACGAACAAGATATTTTAAAATCCACGTACAATCACATAAAAATTGCTGGAATTAGAAAATTCAATGTTGGTGACATTGTGAGAATCAGCAAAGCCAAACATGTTTTCGAAAAGAATTATACGCCAAATTGGACTACTGAACTATTTAAAATCGTAAAAGTTCGTATTACGAAACCTACTACATACATCTTGGAAGATTTACATGGTACTCCGATCAAAGGTGCTTTTTATCCTGAAGAATTGCAAAAAACTATAAATCCTGACATCTATCTAGTGGAAAAAGTTTTAAGAAAAAAAGGCAAAAAGGTGTTTGTCAAATGGTTGGGATTCGATGATACACACAATAGTTGGATTGATTCCAACAATAAATTATAATGCAAACATATGGAAAAGAAGCACACATTCAATGGCTATGAGAGGGCCTTTCATCGATCACTAACAAATAACCTGTTATTCCAATCTGCCGGATGTTATGATCAGTCAACAGTTATGGTATAAATAAGGAGGACTGAAACTTTCAACACATCAGTTCGAGAACAATGAGTGAAGACTCTGGTTATTCATCTAGTGAAGTGCTTTTCGAAGACGGTAGTTCTAGATCATCATCATCATCAATGATGGGTTATTATGGTGACGTTGATACGTATTTGGACATGATTGAGCAAGCAGCGAAAGCCGAATCGTACCTCCTGCTGACTTCATCGTTCCAGTTGTCCACCTACATGATTCAGTGCGGACTTAGTCCAGCTAGACAGTTTAGTCCGAGCATCATCCTGAAGAAACCCTTCCATCCAGCGAAAATTTCGTTCTCCACATATGAATGGGCCACCTTCATCGATTCGCTGTATAAGGTACAACAAGACTTTTTTGAAGCACCCCTGCCCTGTTTCATTGATGAATATGATCCTGCCGTTACCACCTGTGGAGACTATATTGCCATAACCAAATTCGTTTGCGATGGTGTCAAAATGTTGTCACTAACCAAATACCACATTACATTCGAATTGGTGGAAGAGGATGTTGCAGACATTTTGAGTGCTGAAATGTGCATTGTTTCACATCGAGTTAATTTAATCAATGACTTGGACTTTTTTATGTTTTATCAGAATATTATGAATGTAATAGCTGAATGGATAAAAAATAAACTGACTGTTTTGAGTGCACAAGAGCTTATATTAGGGTTTTGCGATGTTTGCAATAGCATGTCTAGTAACGCTCTCAGAGAATATCTATATTACTGTAAAAATGAATTGATGGCTGATTTGAATAAAAACCTGTGAAATATGTGACTCGTTTTTTATTTATTTCATCAGTCTACAACTTGACGCGAAACTAGTAGCATCTGAAATATTTTAGTTCTGCTCGAAAAATCATGAAGTCTGAAATATCTGTGCTATTGGAGTTTATAAAATCTCCCGCTTTGACTTTGACGAAATTCACTGAACAAGAATTGCAGTACATTCCAGTAGAATGTCTCATTGAATATGCAGATCCTTATGGGCTATTAAGGGTGTGGCACAAACTTCCTCAAGAATATCGCAGCAACTTTAACCTACAAATCAAACTGCCATGCTTCGTTCATTATAATCGTCCCGATTGGACCACACACTGGGATGGACCGCCATCTTCTCAAGAGGCATGTCATTTTTGTAGAAAAGGATTACTTAAATAAATAGATTATTTATCTTCGTTTTCGTATTCTTTCACCCTCATGGGCCGCCCTGTATATATTTTTTTTTTTCAATCTTCATCAACTCAAACGCCCTGTATATGAAAATTCAATCTTGTTATTGTCATTAAAGTCACAGTTTGAGGAATGGGTATACGAGCGCGCGCTTATCATTCTAAGGGATCTCTCGCTTTGCTTCGAACGCCATGAATCGAGACAGCGTTGCCACACACAATAATGTAACAATATTAACACCCAAACACATACGTCCGACAACGCTGCAGCACCGCGCGCTCGAGCCTTACTCTACCTCGATAGATTCGTTGCAAAGATAAGCGAGCGTCAGCGATGGATATTATTTTCAACTCGAAGTTTCTTATCTCTGGAATGCATCTCTCGCTTCACTGTACCTCGATAGATCCGTTGCAAAGATAAGCGCGCGCCATCGATGGATATTATTTTCGACTCGAAGTTTCTTATCTTTGGAATGCATCTCTCGCTTCACTCTACCTCGATGGATCCGTTGCAAAGATAAGCGCGCGCCAGCTATGGATATCCCGTTTGAATAGCATTAAAATAATTGGCATATCACGGAGGTCGGAATACCACAGTGCGTATATACGCTGCCTCGTAATGCAAAGGTCCCTGGTTCAATTTCCCCCAGCGGTGACAGCTTTTTTTAATTTATTTATTTAAAAATTCATCATGATGATGATGATGTCGTCACCATCTTGTTATTGTCATTAAAGTGTTATTTGTTGCGGTTTCAATAAGCTCGCGCTCCCGCTACCCCGCTTCCCCGCTAGAACACAGGCCGCGTTCCAGTTAAGATTAAAGCATGTATTTCCCTATGCTGGTAGTCATGCTCTCTTAGTTTTAACTACTAATGCATATTATATGATTTTGATGATGCGTTATGTTCCTGTTTATTTTCACTTTTTAACTTCCGTATAATCAATATAAAATCTCAGAAATAAATTTTTAAATAAATATTTTCAATTTCATCATTTTTTTTGTAGAGGACGTGAACTCCATGGGTGTAAGACTTCGAGTATATGGCTGTGAACGTATGCGAAGGGAGAGGTTGATTGGAGAGGCAGTTGTGAGTTTTGCCAACATCAATTTGGAATTAGAAAACAATTTTTGGTTAACTCTAGAACCTAGATCTAACACAACGGTAAGAAAATTGACAACAAAACTAGAAATAAATGGTCCTTCGACAGATATAGTTGAAATATAATAGTCCCTTGAACATCAATAACAATAACCACATGTTTTTTACAAAATGTATTGGCAAAAAGCCAGTAATATATAAACGATTCAATTCTCGAAAAATTCATGATTATTCGAAATAATGATGATAAAATTTATATTTACGAAAATTTTAATGAATGTATAAGAATATATAGGATTGATTTCAAAATGTTGTTAGGTATAGGGTCTTCACGTATTTTTCGAACCTCCACTGAACTTTTTTATGTAATGGTCAACTGTTTTTCCATTGGCATTTATGAAATCTACAGAAAAAATATAAGGAACGTTAATTGAGAAAAAAATTGAACAATACATGAAAAAAGTAAAGAGGGGGTTCAAAATATACGTGATGACCCTGTACTTATATAGTTACTTCTTCATTATTTCAACATCTCATTTCAATATTTCGACTATAAGAAAAAACTATTGGCTTTAATAATAATCAATAATTCATCATGAACGAAGCATATATTTACGAGTATTTATTCTTACGTTTATTGTTGTTGGATATTGCACAATTTTCTTCATGCTTGATCTTTTGGAGATATAAATCAAGACTGACTTCACTTGATGACATGGAAACCATAGTCAGATTATGCAAAAATAATTATTGATCTTTCTCATGTGGAAGGTTGACAATCATTCGAAAATGTTTCCGTTGTAGTTGTCTGGAGACCTCCTGAGCCTGGCAAGATCGGATAGCACAGGTTCAACACATTCCATGCAACATGGCGGCGTTCCAGAATTACTACTAGGGCTGTGCTACAATGCAATAACTGGCAGACTGAGCGTTGAAGTTGTCAAGGGGTCACACTTCAGGTTAGATTGCACTTTTCGGAATAGTTTTTCAATATAGAATTTAACTAAATCGAATTCCAAAGTTCCTCGAATTAAACGTTTTTTCTAATTTTGACATGTCATGTGAAAAACGTCTGACTATGTAACCAGTTGTGTGAAGTAAAATATTACATTACTGGTGATGAAATGTTCATTTCAACACCAGTCACGTAATAAAAATATGGATGGACGAAAAGGATAGTGCATTTTAAGCTATTTCCTCGATATAACTTATAGAATCTGAACTTGAACCAGCCATTTTGTGAATTTCGTCGCTGATTTGTGATATATTTTTGTTTGACGGATACTTCAAAGTGACGGGCGAATCAAAACTTGCCTACTCAATTTTGTACATTTTTTCTCTTGGTGCGCACGAACGGAAATTCCTATAATGTTCGTGGAACATCGCGCGTACATAGAGAGGACATCAGGGAGAATAGCTAGGTATTGGATTCTTTTTTGAACTTTTGGAGGTTATAAGTGCTTGGGAATATAGATCGCGTGCACGATGACCGACCCTGGAGGCAAAATATTGAAACACAACCTTCGCATTGTGCTGTTGTACAATGCACAAAAAATGCAGCAAGAGACTAAAGAATATGATTTTTCAGGTAAATAGTAATCTCACATAGTTATCATTATGAAATGTTGTCATTCCTTATTAAAATTCCTTCTGCATTCTGTCACTTCTGCAATACAAGCTAATACTGCTAATAGATTGAAAATGTCTACAACACACACGATCGTCAGCATGTCAGACCAGTCCTCCCGATTGATTGCATGAATCCAATTTTCTGGCATTATTTTAGAAATTTCAGATGTATTTCTATTAGCTTCTATCGCAGAAAGAATTCCGATGAGAAATCAGAGAAATTACCAAATTTCAAAAATGAAAACTATATGTGAGTGACTATAGTAGGTACTTACTTTTGAATCATATTGTACCAACCGGATTACTTCGTCTTCCGCTGCAGTTTTTGTGCATTTCACAACAGCATAATGTGATGGCATGAGCGAATTGATGAATAGCGGAAAAATACGATTCGTATGCCAAAATAATTGTGAAAAACTATTTCAATCACTTGTAAACAAATAAGTAAAGTGACGTTTGTGTTTCAATATTTTGCCTCCAGTGTCGGTCATCTGACAGTTCTTGCACGCAACCCATACTTCCATTGGCAAAGAATTCCAAATAAAGCTTCGCCGTTCTATAAACGAACGAGCATTGGTAGAGTGTTGTTCGAAGCTGTTAAGGTATAAAATAGATTTTCGCACGGAACAAGAATCCGAGTTTTTGTGAAGCAGCTTTTTCGAAGGATCGGACATGATCTTTCCATAAGAGAGTATTGCTGATGGTATTTATATCAGGCATACTGATGAGTTCCGCCTTTCCAGAGAAAATACAGGCTTGCGTTTTGGTGACGTTGAATTCATCTAGGTTGTTGGTTCCCCAGCCTGTAATTCCCGCAAGATCTTCATTGACAGCATTGGCCTGCCTTAGTCGCAAAGTCTTAGTTTTCTGGGAAGAAATGGAAATTCTAGAGGACGACGCAGTATGGAGAGTACAATCATCTGCAAAGCTGTGGATAGGGCAAGTGGTTGCTCTCAATAGATCGTTGATATATGCAGTAGGAATAATGTTGGTGCCAATATTGATCCTTGTGAAACGCCATAATTGATGGCAATGGTATTAGACAATACTCTGGCCACCACCACATGAAGCGATCTGTCTGAAAGAAGAGTCGATAAAATATGGCATAGCTGCGGTGGAACCGTATGATGGAAGGTTGTGGAGCAGTCCTTGGTGCCGAATGCCTTCGATATATCTAGCGCTATACAGCTAGAGATTCCCCATGTTTTTCTAATGAAGTTTGTCATATATGGGTGACGTATAGACAAGTAATTCTCCAGTTGATCTTCGGTGGCGAAAGCCATATTGTGTATCATTGATGATTCCTGAGCTTTCCAGATATTTTATGAGCCCAATGTTGATGGCTTCCTACATCACTTTGGAGGTGAATGATAACAGGGCAATTGGCCTATAGTTGTTGGGCAGGTGGCAGGCTCTTGTTTCCTTTTTTGGGTATTATTAGTTGGACTCTAGCTAACTTCTAGGAGATGGTAAATAGCTTGCAGAGAATCGATGTCAATTCTGGTGCACACTTTTTGAGAATAATGGGTGGAATTCCATCAGGACCATTATAATATGGTGTGGTATGACGCATCTACGTATACGTATACGTCACTGCGAGTAAAACAATTTCTCGCATACGTGAGTAGCACACCATATTGTATTTCCACCATGATCAGGACCATTGGACTAATTCGTTTTGAGACCGAGCAGAATGCGTCTGATAGTGCGTTGACGAAAGACAATTTCGGGCATTCGACGACACTCAACGCGTGAAATCTCTAGCGGAACCCTTTCTTTGCAGAAATGTTCACTTCCTCTGATGTTGGTAAAGTGCCGTCGTCTTAGGAGAGTGGTGGGAATGAACTATTAGTAAAATTCCTTCTGACTGCTCAATCTATGTTGTGAAATACAGGATGTCTCAATGAAAATAACAAATATGACAATAACGAAAATAGTTTTGCTGGATTCTCCATGTATTTTTCGATTGACGATCGTGCTACTCTTCAAGTCCTCCATAATTATATAGATCGCGTAAACTCATAAAGATATACACTGTATAGCCAACCAACTCTTCAAATAATATCAAATATAATAGTTTTTAAGATATAAGTGTTTCAAATGGAAAAAAATATGTATAACGAATTACATTTTCAGTTACCTTCTCAGAAATTTTGGAATGAATCGAGCTCCAGATACTTACGTGAAATTGAATTTGGTCAGTAGTACAGGTCAAGAACTAGCACAGAACAAAACGAGTGTTAGACGAGGACAACCAAATCCATTGTTTAAGGAAACATTCGTATTTCAGGTGAGAGATGAGTCTCCCAATTTCTATTACCATTCCTTTTTGTACTTCCCTTTCTCCCCCAACTGGTATACTCATGAAAAAACTGCTAGAAGATATATTCAAAACTAATAGAGAAGTTCAGTTAGCGTTGAGAGAGAAAAAATGGATAAGAAGACCATTCTAATTTTTTTCCTTGTTTCTTCAACGTCGGCCTTTTTCTGCTACTGCGGCTAATCACCGACGGCGGTGAGCACACTACCCGCAACCGGAAATTTTGGTGAATCCTCTGGTGTTCCAACCAGAAGTAGGGAACTTTAACGAGTCCAACATCCATGACCTCGGGACCGCCGGCTAAACGTCCTCTCCGAAGGACGGCATATCCGTACCATATATTGTGCTCATTGATATGGTAGCTGTTGCTATGATATGCTATTTCGCTACAGATGTGCGGGCTTACGCGGGGTTTCCTTGAATCGTCACCCACCCATCCAAGTACTAATCGCCCTCGACACTGCTCTACCTCAGATATCGAACGGCTATAGTGTCTTACCTGAGAAGCTAGGGCGATGCCCCATTCTAACCTTTTTTATATTGAGTTTGTTATGGTGTTCTTCTTCTTTTTTTTTTCGTTTCCAATGTTACCGACTTGAAATTTTCATTATTTTGTATTGGAACACTAAAGACAAGGACAGATGGGGAAGACTAGGGGAAGACCTTTTTTCTCTCACACCGCTAGCTGAACTGCTCTATTTGATGTAGAGTCCAGCCGCTACTTAGATGACAATTGCCACGACGTATATGAAACTATCATCTCCTGCGATACAACAACCAATCAGAATGGTGTGCCTCCATAATATGGGTACATATATTTCGTCAGAACGTATTATAACAGAACCGTATTTCACCAGAACATATTCTGTCGTAATGGTATTTCGAAGGAATAATATCTCATAGGATCAGTAATTCATCGCGAAATAAACCAGCATAATGTAACTCATCATGTAGTGAAATGAAGAAATGAACTCCGTAGGAACGTAAAACATCATACCGTGAATCTTAGAAATGGTGATTCATCAAAACCGTATTTCATAGCGACACTAATAATTCATGACCGTATTCTGTCGCGACATTAGTCTATCAAAATCGATTTCCATAGAATTGGTAGTTTGACAGAATTGTGTTTCATCGCAACTGTATTCCATCAGAACCGTATGTATTTCATAGGAACCGTATTTCAAAGCGACAGCAATCCATAGGAAACGGAATCCATAGCGACAGCAATTCATCGGAACCGTAATTCATAGCGGCAGTAATTCATAGGAATCGTAATTCATAGCGACAATATTTTATAGGAACCGTATTTCATAGCGGCAGCAATTCATCAGAACCGTAATTCATAGCGGACGGAGCAGCATATTATGTATGCTGCTCCGTCCTTTCGAGCTGGTAAGACCACGTCGTCACGCAACCTCGAATCTGAATAGAACTTCTTGTCACCTAGGTTGAAATGGAGATAACAATTTGTTTATTATGCAAAAGTTGTCACAGGTAGCAAAACCATATTTGAACAAAGAAAACTGAATAATTTGATAATATTAAATCATTTGCAATAATGTATTTTTACCTCTTTGAGAAATGCTTACCTCTAGGCATTTTATCTGATTTACCCACGTTACAAGAGCAAAATCTGATAAAATCAACTACGCCTATCATTGACCTCGCCTAACAACCGCTTCATAAACGTTCATAATACGTCTCTGGCGCGGTTTCATCGGATTTATTCGTGTCTAGAAGTGTTGTCGAAACATGAATGATACAATAGTGCGTGAAGAGGGTGTGAACATAGCAAAATATTAGAATAGCATTGAGAGGAGGTAGACCAATGATACTTTTCAAATAACTGCTGCACTTCTCCCTCTCTTGTAGTTTCTGAGTAGTAGCTGAACTCTAGGTAGGATCTTCTGATGAACATTGTGCTAATTCCACGTGATTTTTGGATTGGCAGGTGGCATTATTTCAACTGGCCGATGTTACCCTGATGATAGCAGTTTACAACAGGAAGGGAGTAACGAAGAGAAAGGAAATGGTAGGGTGGTTCAGCCTCGGTCTGAATTCGAGCGGTGCAGAAGAATTGGCGCATTGGATGGACATGAAGGAATATCAACAAGAACAGATATCGCGCTGGCATATACTAGTCCAGTCATAGCTGATACACGTTTATGGTGTAATCGGCCCTAATGGATATTCCCAATCAAAATGAGTTTTTCTCAAAAATAACGTTTCCAAAACTTTTGCAAATTTGTAGGAAGTTGCTGTTATTGGTGCTATACAGGTTTTTGTCATTGACGATTGAACTCGTCACTTTCAGCAGTTTTTCGAACCATTTGGAACAAAGTTTGAGCTTTCAAAAATTCAATGATGATGTGTATAATCGCCATCATTGGTAACCCGATTTCACTAACTGAATGTCTATATTCGAAATGTGTTTCCCATCTTGATATCCTATATATTCTCAGCTACAAAAGTTTCTTCATAGACATTGATTTCCGAAAAATCATCATTTATTGAATCGAGTGAAAATATTAACAATGATGTCATGAAAATGATCTGATTTGCCTTTAACCTGCACACATTTTTTACTGCATACGATGTATACATTACTGATTACTGAGATTTTGTGTGGAACCATATGAAAAATGGATTTAGTGGAACAAAATAGCTCGTGATCTATGAACAAAAAAGTTCTGTTTTGACATTCCATTTGGTAGCGTTTGTGATATTAAAATCGAATTTGATGAAAAAGATCAAAAAGTGGGATACTATATTATTTTCCTCGCATCATATTCCACCTAAACAATGTTTTGATATTGATTGATACAAAGACTTTTTGTCTTGCTAAGATATCTTCGTCACTTATTCTCGAATAGTGCAAACATTAATTATATTTCAAATGATACATTATCTCATAAGATTTATATTCAACATGAAAGAAAATATTAATAAACATTGATACTAATATTTTCTTCTGTAGGAACATTGCACTGGAGAAAGCCCATTCAGATTACTTGATGAGAATTCACATAAAATCGCTGTTTTACCGGTTGTCCCAGAGAGGTGGCTTGCCTCTATGTGTATAAGACATTGAAATAACTGACTGGACCTTCAACATCCAGTTCAACCAGAACATTATTAACAACTTTCGAATTTTGAATGAGACACAATAATGCCACATTCGATTTGGAGATGAGAACGACCATACCCCTTCTATATAGGTACCAATTTGAATGAGACAAAAATACCTTAAAAGTAATCTCGATGGGATTCTTGAGTGGACAACTTTTTACTGGCCAAACTTCACAGGCATGTAAAGTGCTTGATGTAACCTATCTAGTTTGTAGCATCATAATGTTCGTTTTGATTTTCACGTACAATTTTCAATTCATGTACTTCATGATTCTCGGACATTGAAAATAATTTATATTATATGCATAATGCCAATGGCTATACTTGAATATTTTCATTAAATTTAGAGGTCGTCAGTTCACTCATTTCTGGTCAAGATGGAGGTCAAAACAGAAAATTAATTGAAACAGTTTCTGACATTACCATTGGTGTCTCTAGTGGACCAAAGGAATACATCACTCTAAATGATTTGCCCTGTATATTAGATTTGTACACACCAGTTAAGTTTGGCCATTCAGAAGTGTTTTAGCTAGTCAAATTTGAAGGTTAGATAAATTATATATACTACAGCATTTCGCTCAATGGATTACATTTACTTGCTTGCAGCCAACTTTTCAGAAATTAAAGGATCTAGACTCCTCAAAGTTGAACTACACAGGATGAGTCATTTTATTATTATTATTTTCATTATTATTAATTTTATTATTAGTACTATCATTATACTCGTTATTAATATTATTATGTTGGACATTTATGCCATGAAAGGACTAATTTTGGAGTGCCCAGACATTTATCTTTTTAGGAACCGGGATATATCAATCTTATGTATTATGATTCTAATATAGTGAGTGTGTAATATGATGTTTCATGAATCGAATCAATACTATTTTTTACAGTGTCACACTCTGGGAAGCACCACCATCATTTTTCATGATGCTGGAATACACTTCAAAAATTAAACATAATAGATTATACAGCATTTTGATATCATTTCATATATGATTCTTTTGATTATCACTCACTGTAAACAATATAATAACCAATATTATTGACCAATGTTCATAAAAACTTTGCTTCTTGAATTAAAATACAGTATTCTATCAGTTGTCCCTATTTTGCTGCTAAAAATTGGCCAACCTCTATATTTTGTATTTACATAGGTACTAGATGTAGGAAGAAATGTAATCCAACATCTACTACAAACATCCAAAGGAAGAGGAATACACTGTGAGAATCATTTTGTCAAACCCTATGTATTATATCTTTGCCAAAGAAATAATATTATGCCAAGCACAAATTATTGATAAGCTGATAAAAATGAGTAGGGATGGGTTCTTTTACTAGTTTTAAGTCTGAAATAATGTTGATGCCTAAAGATGTCTATTGATATTAAATCCACTATATGTAGATATACTAAATGATATATTGAACGTTACCTAACTCTTTGTGAATACTTGTTCATTGAAATATGAATATATTCCTTTTTTGTCATTTTGTGGAGAATTAAACCTCAGCAACGGTTCAAAAATTGATCAAAATAAGACGTTTTGTTTTTTTAGTCTTGTTCCATTGTGGTCAATATTTGAGCAATTACTATCAATGCATTTTAAAGCCAACTGAACTTTCTCTTCATGCCTACTGAAAATTATCAACATAATGACTTTGTATCATCAACTTGTTGAATTTCATACATCAACAAAGCTTTGATCATCACATAATCATAATGATGGAACAATAAAGTAGCAATTAATTGAAATGTTCCATTTCAATGAATAAATGAACCTATATTCACATAGCTTGCTGAAGATTCAAATTCAAATACTTGTTGAGAATTGGAGAATTGTTGTCCATTTGATGTGTTCATGTAACAATTCAAACATCTATGGAGATAACTTTGTCGTGATTTGTAATAACTGTGATTGTTAACACATCCAGTATGAAACTGTGAAAAATGTATTGAATTATCTATCATTCTGTCTTTAAGAAAAAAAACATGCAAAAAATGGATGTCACTGTATAGACCCAGTTGAAACATATCATCTAAGGAATGTCGGACCGCGCTGCCGCTCTCTTTAAACTTTCAAACGGACCGACGGCCCGCGGTGATATGTTTTTCCAACTGACTTTGCATTGACTTCATCATCATGTACTGAATTAGGTAGGCACTTGCACACATTTAACTTGGTCTCTTTGTCAGCCAGAAAATGTTTTTTTTTGTATTCCAATTTTTTCCCATAGTGGACCTCACAAAAACTAAAAATCACGTTTTCTCTTAGGGTATTGCTTTACCATGAAGGACCACAATATTCAAGATATATCATTATCTGAAATGCAAGTAGCCTTTTATTCAGCTGTATTCCAATGAAATAAAAGATGGACCATACTATACATATTTAGGAAAATATTTCATTAACTATTGAATTGAATATTTGAGAAAATGGTGTGTATACCCCATCCCTACTATTATATAAATATATGAAATTCTATAAAACATATTGCCTTCTACTCAAAATGAAATTATGAAGTGGATTTTAAAATATATTGATATATTAGGATTATTAAGATTTTGTACTTTGTCCATTTTTTATTGTTAATCACTGGTATGATATGCATGGATATATACTGCACTGCTGAAATACAAATGCACTAATATTGGTGTATCTTTTTCATAACTATTATTGTATTTGAAATTTTGTACAAATACATTTTGAATAACTCTTGTCAATTTTCTCTATTTATTTTTACACCATAGACCTAAAAATGACAAGAAGAAAGCAAGAAATCATTCTTCTTTAAGAGATGTGTCTACATGGGGCCACACCAAATGTTTCTGTTGCCCAACTCTTTGATCTTTGACTCTAACTAAGTCATACCTTACCACAGATACATAAACAAAATGAATACTCAATCATCTGTCAAATGTTACACCCTGTAGGAAAATAATAAGGAACAAGTATGAAAAATATGGACTTCCAGATCAAGCAATTCAAATTTCAAAAATATTCATCTGAATTAAGAATGAATTCATTCCTTATTACATATAGACCCCAGTGTATATGAGTGGATACACTTATCAAAAGAAGCACTCCTATTTAATCACAGGTACAGCTACTAATCCAGACATGATTGTATGCACTCTAAGGTAGAAAACTATGAAAAATTACTTCTTGATTGGTAAATCTCTGGTTTGTACTTGGATAGGAAACTTCATGGAATGAGTTATCCAACCAATGGCTCATTGACCTGCTCACCACAATAAAAATAATTGATGACCTAATGTAATGTAATGAAATAAGCAATGAGCAATAAAATGACTCCCTGATCAAATTCTTCAAGTGGAAGCATACCTAGGTCAAATATTGAGGGATTCTTCAATATCTGGGACTATATTGAATGCATTAAAGGCAAGATTATTATAGGTATGAAATTTCACCAACCTTTAATTATTGAGTACCTACTTATGAATAATTATCTACAGAAAAAACAATCAATAGCTGTCATTTGCAGGTGGTTTGGCCCAGTGTTCTTCTCTTTCTCCAGTATAATATTGGCGATGTCTTTCAGTTCTCATAGCAGACATTCTTTTGAATTGTTTGATTTTCAGAGCACATTCCTTGAAATCTTCCAGTATTGGCTTACACTTTTTGAGTCCTCTGTCTAGTCCATAAGCCTCCAAGCAATCAAGAGCCCTCAATTCCATATCAGCACATTCCCCATACCATTGGTGGCTTACTAGGGCTCCAGTAAGGTCGGTAAATGGTGATTTTAACCAAGGTGAAAGAGACATTTCTCTGCAGTGGATTTTTTTACAATTTTATTACACTGGAATATAAACTATAGTTAAGAGACCAGGTTATATTATATCATCACCATCGCAGATCCCATATGACAGCTGATTCTTTTTTGATTTCTCCAATTTCTTGATGTTGACTAAATCTTGACGCACCCTGTCACAATTTTAAAGATGAGTGCCAATGCAGCGTTTTTGCTACGCGTCGGACGTCATGCAACTAGCTAGACCAGCGAATCTTTCAAACATCGAGGTCAAGTGACGTCATACCCACAACACATGATATTTCTTCCTTCTTTATTTTGAGAAACTACCACTACTACGAATAAATAAAGGAATAGCTTAATGGCTTATGTGTGGTCTGTGTATCTGAATTCAATACTACGTGGAACCTTGTGGAATTTCATTACCAGTTAAATGATGTCAGATGATGTCAAGTGCGAAGAGATTGGCAAGAATTCGAATAGTGACTAATCAGAACTAGGGTCCCTTGATGGAAATTGACGTTAAAGTCATCTTAACAGGGTACGGACAGATCATAGCTGCATTCTTTTTTAATGATCTAGAGATTTTAGTTTTGTCTACTGGCATCCCTGATATTGATGTCATGTCACATCCATGGGCGCTACAGAAAATCATTCAAAATTTTAATAATAGGTATGTACAGGGTATTTACTTGTTGAGGAAGATCATATGGCGAACGAGTTTTGTAATTATGATCCTATTCTATTCAAAATTGGGAGGTATGTGGGGTTTCCCGGCGTTGGAGATTATAATTATTTCGTCAGAATTGGGATATTCGATATGGCGGATCCAATATGGTGGAAGAGTTTTGAAAATTGGTATCTGGGGGTTTTCGGGGTAGGAGATAATGATTGTTTCGTCTAAATTGGAAATATCAAGATGAAGAATCCAATATGGCGAAAGACATTAGTTTATATAATTATTACTCTACCATGCACAAATAGAAAATATGTAGGATGCAAGAGTGAAAATAACGTGCCTATAAGTTATACTGCGTATACTAGCGTATACCTACTCCTTTGTTATTTTCGAAAATGACTTTTTATTTAGAAGAGACGGAAAAATCATGTGTTTAACATGGGGGTGAAGTATATTCTATTCTTTATTTTCCTGCACATTTTACGTATTAATTTTTATAAGCCTTCTTTTCGTCCTAGACGAAGTTTTATGAATACATTAGTAACTCCATAAATTCTTCTTCGAGTTGGATTTCTGAAAATATATTTAGCACACATTACATGAGTACAGTAGTCTAGATACCCACATCGAGGTTTCCACCATTTCTCTATCATAAGGCTCAGCTACTGCTCTGCTTCAAGTCAGAATTCATTCAGTCAATTCTGTCAACCCTGGTATACAGTCTAAGAACAGCTTTCAGTACAATTTAATATGATCCCTAAATCGCAAAGATTATGCTGGAGTAGTAAACTCTAAAACTAGAGGATTGTTCATCTATATCTTGTTATAGTTGAATCAGGAATTGCATATGGAAATTACGTATGATACGCCAGTGACCTCAATATAACCTAAAAAACAAAGAATGTCAAAAATCTAGTGTTTATCCCCAGAATTGAATAAGGATGGAACTATATAACTGTTTCACAAACACTTTAGAGTGAGAGGGGACGAGGATCTGTCCGTACCCTGTTAAGATGACAAATACGTCAGTTTGCATCAAGGGACCCTAATCAGAACGATGGGGTCTGACTTTTCATTGGTTTAAAAATGCGTCGCATCGAAAATCATGGCTGTTTGAGTTCATGCAGCAGATGGCATTAGTGAACATGTGACATTGTAGTCATGTCATTTCAGTTCATCAGTTGTCACCTAGGTCAAGGTCGTATTTAAAAACAGCGAGAGCGAGGTCATTACGGTTCATTGAAGATTTGAATTGTAAATCTCAAAACAAGGAAATAGCTCTTGTAAGTCTTGTATCAGTTATATCCTATTAAGATATCATCGATGTAACTTATTGGCGTTCTACTCGAATTCCAATTTCATTTTCAAACCATATGGTTTATGAATAATAATGCTGTAGGCTGTAGTGTTGTAGTAATAGTATTGTGAATGTTGTAGTTGGAGCATCAAAAGCATCAATCAATGTAAGTGTTTTTCTTAATTCTTGTATTGTTTTTCTTCAAAAAAAGGCACATTCATACTGTGAAATAGTAGTCAGGAACATGGGCTCAAAAAAGAAACACAATGAATTTTGCCAGTCATGTTATAGTCCTTTCTCTCAGTATCATTGTCCTCCTTTATTTCAGTGACTGACAAATAAAGACTGCTTGAAAATAATCAGTGTTTAAACTCCGAGAATGACCATGTTGAGCTCAGAAGCCCAAATTCGGTATATAGTGCAATGGTTTCAAGAATGGAGTGAATTCCAGAGATCAGATTTTCTTCCCATAATGGCAGAGAACTATGCAAATAAAGCTTATGTTAATGGAATTATCAACAGCATATCAAATGTGGACTGTAGGGACAAGCCTATGTCATTGTTTGAGTGTAGGGTAAGTTTAAATCTCCATAACTAATCTACTATGATACTTTTTCTTGGTCACAATCATAGATTCCTTATTTGTCACAGTTACTAATTTTACAATTTCCTGATACACCTACTGAAAAGTTTTATTTTATTCTGTGACATGAAAAATATCTAAAATTTCATCTCTGTTGCCAGGTTATAAAATGTCACTCCTCATGAATTACTGTTGTTGATGTCTTTTGTTGTGCCAATAACACTGTCTCCCAGAAAGAACTGCAGGTCCTTTTATCTTCCATTAGATTTTGTGGTTACATATTATATTACTAAACAATCACTCAATTTGCAATTTTTGAAAATCAAATCATGGAATTAGACTGACAGATATTTGATTACTTCAAAAAAATGATGAAGATGCCTGCAAAAAGATGCTAGCAATGCAGGTGTCATTGCTGTTGAAAACATCAAATTTCACATTGATAATTTTCTGATTTTAATATAATGTAATATCTTCTCAATATTTATTGGTCCGTTTTTCTGTCACAGGAAAAAAAGTGTATTATACACAGGAAAAATATTAGATTTTAGCTCATGGTTTTTGTCTCCCTCAAAAGAATGATGAATATGTCTGCAATGCAGGTGTCATTGCTGTTAACAACATCAAATATCATGTTGGTAATTTTCTGATTTTGATGTAATGTGATATCTTCTCAATATTGATTTCATGTCACAGACAAAAAATAGTTTATTATACATGGGAAAATATTAGATTTTAGCTCATGGTTTATTGTCTCCCTCCACTATGTGTCAAGAGACAACACAACTTGGAGTTGGAATCTACTACTTTTTCTCCTTGTATAATAAATAACTATTTAATGAGGTAAAATTGCCTTCTTGAACTCCTCAAGGATCCCTCAACCCTCAATGTCAGACTTATTTTCTGCTGCCAAGGGACCACACATTTCTGAAATTAGAAAAATCTGGGAATATATTTTTTTTTCAAAAAATCTTCACATTTCACCATTTCAAGAGTACCTACATAAACTAATGTAAATTGAAATAATTAACTCAATCTGTTTTAAAATTCACACAACAAATTGGCATGGTGTCCAGCACATATGCAGTGTTGATAAAATATATTTTTTCTACTAGCATGAGGAAATGCCCACTTTCCTCACACATTTTAGTGTTGGGAGTCACTTTTCCTCACTAGTGTGGAAAAGTAAATTCGTTAAGTTTCTGGGCAGTGTATTGACATTTGAATATTTAGCTATAATACATGTTTCTTTATGTCAACTTGTTTGGGTATTTCTCACACACTAGTAGAAATAATAGTGTACTTAACACATGCAGGAAAGCATAACTTTCAGCACTTGATAGGTAAACTACAATTGCAGGTAAAACTTTTCAAAGAATGGTTTCTACAATGGACCACAGAACAAAAAGAGAGCTTCTTCAACCAGATCTCAGAAATAGACTCAGAATTTGGGGAAAAGTTGAATGCTGAAATCCATAATGGCTTGTCTAACAATTTGAATCATGAAGTGAATGGAGAAGAAATCTTGGAAGATTGAGAATAGGACATATTTTTTATTTTTATACTTGCCCTAGTGAGAGGTATACATGATGGAAGACATAATGAAAATAAAACAGTGGCCTATGCAGTGGGGGTTATTGCTAGAACTTTTTTTGGAACACCTTGTACATATATATAAAGTCTTCTTTTTGTGTATCTACCAGTAGGACAACTTTGAGATTTTTTGTATTCCAGTACCTTCACAAATCTGTCAGTTATTTTATCTTATCACCTTTTACTTTTTATTTAGCATTTATTACTGTTATTTTCCTGGATTAGAAAATATTATTTCATGAAATCTATAAGCAACTTTCTTGAATGATGCTTATCACTTAAAATGTCTTTTGGAAAATGAATAATTGCATATTGCATTGGATTGTTATACCTAATACTCTGGTGATGAATCGAATAGTATTTAATGTGATATTTTCTTAGAATTTATTTTTACTACTCTTGGTTAACAATATGAATGCAGTTTATTTAACAAGTAAGGCATCTATTTGTGTTATGGAAAGTGAAGATGCAGCATAATAAATTATTCCACAAACAAAATATTTTATTGACAAGTGAAAATCTTGGAAAAAGTCACTGCTCAGGTGTATTATTAATTTTTTAGTATTATTCAGTATTCTTCTCAGCAAAGCCTGAAATGTTCCACTCTGTAAATATTTATTCTACTGTAAACCATTCACCCACTGGGCACATTACAAAAAAAAAAAACAGAAATTGTATCACGAAAATTGCTAATATAATATGGTAGGGATATGCCGTCCTTCGGAGAGGACGTTAAGCCGGCGGTCCCGAGGCCATGGATGTTGGACTCGTTAAAAGTCTTGGATAAAGATCCCTACCTCTGGTTGGAACACCGGAAGATTCGGCAAAATTTCCGGTTGGGGGTAGTGTGCTCACCGGCGTGGGTGATTAGCATATATCTACTAGAAATAGTAGATATACCGAGTGTCAACGAATCTATTAGACAAGTCATAACTTCTATACCATCGAGTGTATCGAAATGAGATTTGGTATAGGTAAATGGTATGTGAAGAGGAGAGTTTTCACCATATTTTTCACTTGCCGGTCACTTCCGGTTTCACCGGAAATGGCTCCGGCTCTAAATTTTTTAATGGAACACCCTGTATATTGTAACATTTTTGGATTTCTGAGACAGTTCTAGATCAGAATGTGACATTTTGTACAGTTTTTAAGCCTACTTAATTTTTTCCGAGTCACTTTTGAAATTACATCTAGCATCTAGGTGGCCATGATCGGAAGTAAACTGATCTAAGGACCTCAGGTGATATCAGAAAATTACAATCGCGAAGTTTTAGTGACAAGTATGATAGATATGAATAAGACAAGTTGACAAAATAACAATTTCGTGTAACTATTATTTTTCAAATGGCGACCATTTTTTGACAAGCACTTTCCTATTTTGACGAATCTAACGATACTAATTTATTTGCGATTGGATTACAAATAAGTACAAAAATTAAATATTGCTGACGAAAATACTTCATACTAATTTATTTTCTTTTGTAAAGATGTAATTTCAAGAGTGACTCCGAAAAAACTGAGTCGGCATAAAAACTTTAAAACATGTCACATTCTGATCTAAAATTGTCTCTGAAATCCAAAAATGTTACAATATACAGGGTGTTCCATTTAAAAATGTAGAACCGAAGCCATTTCCGGTGAAACCGGAAGTGCCCGGAAAGTGAAAAATATGTGAAAACTCTCCTCTTCACATATCATTTACCTATACCAAATCTCATTTTGATACACCTAATGGTCTAGAAGTTATGACTTGTCTAATATAGATTCGTTGACACCCGGTATGGTGATTAGCCTCAGTAGCAGAAAAAGGCCGTCGTTAAAGAAACAAGGAAAAAGAAGCTAATATCATAACCTATACACTGAGAGATTTAAAAAAAACAACTATATTTTTGATAAGTTTATTGAGGTAAAACTAGGTTTGAGAGAGTTTTTTCAAAGGATTACGAAGATATTCTCGTTCGAAATTTCCAAACACTCAATAAGACGTGTGACAGAGAAAAAGTAGGCAATATTATGTTGTCTTCAAACTCCAGTGAAAATTCTCGCACGATGTGGTAGTTCATTATCATTATCATCAACCAGTATGAAATTGTCAATAAAAATTTTTGGGCAACTGGAACGACAACTTCCCTAATACAATGAATGTCTTATTGATACCGAAGAGTATTCATACTCTCTCTCTCTCAAGATAACCAACGTGGGGCAACGATTCATCATGATACCGCCCCATGTCAATTTTATATACTTATCATTTTTCCATTATAAATATTCGTAATATTTCAATCTATTTCTACATCCCCTATTTTCGAAAAATTACAACACATTGTGTAGTAATGGCGAAGGATGATGATATGCCAATGTAAAATTCTGTTGAAGTTGAGTTTATGGTGGTTGAACATTTCAGAATGCAATATGTTGTGAAAAAGTCCATACATCCAAACATCCTGTATGAATCCTCTTGAATTCAAAACCATTTCGAGAAAACTCATTGTTCGCCATTTTATCAACCTCAATGAAACAAAAAAAATTCCCGGTGAAACGGGGTGATCCCAAACTTTTCGAAAATTATCACATTTTCAGATATCACCCAGTAGGTCTTTATGTTCAAAAGGTGGAATAACAAAAAAATACTGACGTTGTACCCATGGAATGAGCTATCAGAATCTTGAAAGGAATTGAAAATTGGTTGATCCACTCCAAAGTTATGACGGCTCGAAAATGATAGAAGTTTTTGCTTGTCACACTTCAAATGTGGAGGAGTTTAAATGAGCATATGCAGTAATTGATTTAACAGATTTAAAGAAAACTCCAACCTTAATAAAACAATTATTTATTACATCATAATTATTCTAAAACTTTCATCATATAAACTTACATAACGCAAAAATATATTTTTCTTAGGTAATAGGAAGAGAGACATCACAGCCTAAGTTGAAGCCAATAAGGTAGATAGAACTATAGTAAATTGTGTCATGGTCCAGAACTTGAACAGTATAATATAGGTAGGCATCTGATATGTTGAAACATGGCATGAACGCAACTGCATAGCTTAGTAATAATTTCCAGTGAAACAATTTTGTAACATGTTGCAATTTCTCAGGATTCAGATTTAGCAGATACTTGGTGAAAAAATACAGAAATCAGCATTAGATCATGCATCTTGGTAATATCTTTAGAAATCATTAGAATCACTTTATTATCAATTGCAATAGTTAATAACATTGCTCAAAATTTTATGTGAGACATATTCCATATAACATTCCATTCTTTTCATCTTGTGTGGATGAATGTTGATTGAATTTAGTGCAATACTTCACATAATCAGATCATTTTCAGTCATTCTACAGCCATCTCGATCTTTTTTGTGGTAACCTAGTTCAAATTCTGAGGAATATATCATAATAATTATAATAGTTTGTACTTGAAATAATGACATGAAATTAATTGAATCTCAAAATTAGAGACAGCAGCATATTAATCTTTAGAATGTGTAGGAGTGTGCGAATGAGATTGCAAAACTTTTTGACAGAGTGCTTTGATGCTAGGCTGATTCAGTAACTCCGCCTCTCTCATAATCCTCCGAATGTCGGATATTCTTTTGTATTTGACAGCAAGAAAGTAAGCTGTCTTGAGTTGTTTCGCCTCAATGTAGGCTGATATCTGAAAAAAAAACATGGGCAGCTGATTTGCTTTTCTACTGACTGTTTGAGAAATATCGATCCCAGACGTTAATTATCGTAACCATAGACATATAACAAGACGGGAGACAGAACAGTTCATTCAAAACACTATTTGCTTACAATCATATATACCTCCAAAGTTTCAAATAAGTTAGGAAGCATAAATGGCTTTAAAAATGGCAACGCTGTGAACTGTGCGTCAATTTTACACTTTTCTTTACCAGTCGCGTAGGTTAAGCGAGGGGCAAGACAATTTTACTACAATGACAACCCTATTATACCCATGGTGGAATTCTACATCGTGGTGGAATTATAATATGGTATGTATGCTACGACGCATCTTCGTATACGTCACTGCGCGTAAAACACTTGCTCGCAGTAATCAATTCGCCCGAATTTGAACAACAGAAACAACGTTTCTTGCAATAATTTAGTTGAAAAATAACTCGCGATGCCTACAATGTTATATTCAAGTTGAAAGAAACATAACCTTACTTACCATCGAATATCAATTTGAGGTTTGACATTGATCTTGGGGTTCCTCAAGGTTCTATCTTAGGTCCACTCATTTTTCTTCTATTCATCAATGACATGCCCAACCATATAAACTCAAATTATGTAGTTTTGTATGCAGATGATACAACGATTGCAGCGATTGCAGATAACCCAGAGGAGCTCCAAGAAAAATTAAATACCTTGAGCTTCAAGTGTAGTAAAAACTATTTACTGGTGAATGTAGGGAAAACTGTTCTGATGCAGTTTTATTCCAGAACTAATAGAAAAATTGATAATCTTCATGTTAGAGTGGGTGATGCAATAATTAAAGCATCAGACAACACCAAATTTCTAGGTACTTTTATCGATGGTATGACATGGAGGGTATAAATCATGTCAGTAAGAAAGTGAACAGTGGGTACTATGCTATTAAACAATTGAGGTCCAATTTCAACAAGGCGCAACTTCTAAATGTTCACTTTGCTGTTGTATATTTCCATATTTCTTATAATATTGCCATTTGGGGATGTTTGGCAAAATATTCGTCTCACAGAAAAGGGTCATACGGCTAATATATGGAAGAGACTATAGAAAATCTTGTAGGCTACACTTTATTGAGAATAAAATCTTGTGTCTACCTTGCATTTAAACTTACTAATGTATTTTATTATTCAGGAATCAAATGCAGAATTAGGATCGAAACTGTGCCTTCCATACTACTTATCCTACCAGTCGCGGTGAATTGAAACATCAGAAACATTCAACTCGTCTGTATGAAAATTGTCCATCTTATAAGGGAGCAGAATTCTATAATCACTTATCTGACGAAATAAAAAATGTACACAGACGAGAAAGTCATTTTAAAATTAAACTAAAATTAGTTTGTCTCTTTCGTGGGGATGGCGCCACCTACATGTCTTTTGAAAAGTCAATACTTCTTTGTGCGTACCTGTATAACGTTTTATAGTAGAAAAATAGATTTCTATAACACTTTCGAGTAAAATATATATTCTTGGTTGAGGTCGCTACCTACATCTTTTGGGTGAGTTAGGCTGCAGTTTTTCGCGTGGTTTCTGCAGAAATATCGAAAAACATTACCTCGTATGTTTTTTATTTTGAGGTTCTGAAGTAGTAGGTACCTCTTAACTCGCTATTCGTCAATGGAGCCGTAAGGTGTAGTGTGCTGTACTCAAACTGAATTTATGTTCTAAAGGTAGGAAGATTTCATTATGCTTCATTCTTGTCTTCAAAGATTATTCCTGAATGATTATATGATTTCTCATTTCCAGTTTTTACATACGTGGTCCTGCATGTTGAAACAATTATTTTACCAGCCGTAGTTACGCGTTTCTGCTCAAAGTAAATAATAATTATCTTCGAAATGGCATCTGAACGAACGAAAAAAAAATTGTTAGTTGCACAACAATGCAACCTAGATGACTTATTCTCGGACGGAAATTTTTCATCTCATGTTTTCATATCCAACTCTTTTTACAAGGAAACAGTGCCTCGTAAGAACATTCGAAAAATAGACAGTACCTCGTAAATAACACAATTTTTTTGTAAATTTTAATTAATGCTTTTGATGTCAACATATTTAAAGAAAGTATATTTCCAAGAATTATCATTCAAAAAGTTGAATGATTATTCTTTGTCCCAATTAATGTGACAGTTTTTTGTCGCTCCTGTGAAATTTGCATTTTGTCACTCAAGAGGTACTGCAGTTTGACCGACGAGGCGGTAGTTCTAGGCCGACCCGCAGGAATTTGTAATCATCGTTTTATGCCGAAAACGATGTTGGATCGGGACAAAATGTAGACAATTTCGTCTCCACTCTTTTTATATGTCTATGATGGTAACAATTGCTTACCTTGATGGCTTTATCAGATATCAGTTTGATCAGATCTTCCACCTTCGTCCCGGTGAAGTTGGCCTTGGTGAGCGTGGCCACTGCCAGCGTCAGCATCTCGTCGCACATATCGGTGACGGCGGCGTCGCTGGTGCCGCTCTGCTTGATGCAGCTGACCAGCTGCGCGATGCCGCCGTATCGCTCTTCTTTCGCCAGCTGTTTGCCTGCCTCGCAGTACACTTTCATCGGTTTCAGAGATAAATCTTGGATTATTCTGGAAGCCATGTTTTCCATTATTTTCAACTGAACTGCGTGACAAATGAAGTGGTCCACCCGAATATTTCACTTAATTTCGAAATCAAATATTATAAAAAATACTAGTCCGATCCTGGAATGGTTTGTTCCATGTTGTGTAATAATCGTTCAAGAATGAGATGGTCTACCTACTCTGTCCATGAAGTTTGTGTTTTCAGGTATACAGGAAGGAACATTGACCCATTACAAAAATAAATATTTTCAAAGTTAGCCCAATCATATGGAAAAAATTTCGGATTTTTGTCTAGGGCATATTATGAATATGTTGGCACGGTCACCTGATCTCTCTCCGCTGGATTATTATTTATTGGGAACTATGAAGGATTTGATTTTCAAAACTACTGATCAATATTGATGAGCTGAGAAGAATCATAACCACCACTTTCAGGACTAAGATAAGAAGACTGGACATCTCGCGAGCAATTCAGAATCTGAGGAAACGCGTAAAATTGTGTTTAGAAGTGGAAGGTGGAGTATTCGAGCATCTTTTATAACTTTGTTATATTTTGTTTTGCGAAGAATAAACTTCTTGCTTATTATCGTTCCTAATTGGCGTTCTGTCCAAAGCACTCTTCGCAAAAATGATTTTTCCCAATTTTGATCAACGGGAAAGATACATCATTGTAATCAGAAAAAAGATAGACTTTTCAAAAATGCCAAAATCCAATATGGCGCATATAAGAAAAAACTAAGTTGTGTGTTGTAACTTTGGCATCAAGAACGTCATGGAAAATACAATGAAAGATTCGAATTTCTTGTAAAAAAGTGTTTTAAGAATGTCCCAGTCAGGAACGTCTAGGTCTTTTGGTTTCAGCTTGGAGAAATAAAAACGAAGACGAAGTATCCATTGTGGGGGGCCCCTTTTCAGTGGAGGCCCGCGGCTGTAGCCCCGGATGCCCAACCCCTAAATCCAGCACTGCTTGGGATGCACAGTTATCCTTGCGCAAAAATCATCATCTGCATCTAGATCACTAGCGATGCATTTTTTGTTAATCTTTATTATCAGGTTCTCCAGATAAGAAATTCACAACATGCCACTATAGTGGTAACGGTAAAGTGTGCGAGGGTAGGATGTCAGGTTGACGGAAAAAAAAAAAAAATAAAGGAATTGTCAGTTAAAGAAAAACGACAGATTGTATTTTGCTAAAAAGATTATTAAAGTTTGATTAGTTCACACTATTGTGTATAATCTGTATCTTCGCTATTCGTGGCACTGTCTATAAAGGGTAGTTATCAATTCAGAAGTGGTCAAGAATTCACCTCACGTTTGTGTAAAGGAAGATCTGTTGGAATGGATGATTCCGGAAGAAAACAATCTCCTTTGATAACACTAGACGAAGGTAGTGTTCGTGATGAACCATCATCAACTGGCGGTGGTCATACTGATGGAAAACAAGATCAACTAGTCGATAAATTCATGGACATGATGCTGACTATGGAACGGAACAGGCAAGATAGCGAAAATAGATTTTTTCAATTTATACAAGGACAGGTATCCAGATCAGTTCCGGAGACAACCAATTTCCAAGTAATGCCAGATTTCAGCAAGACTATCGAGAATTTCAATGGTGAAGTTCTGGGGAGAACGGCGATGGGATGGTTAGAGAGATTGGAAAGCACCGCCCTTTTACACAATTGGCCTGACACATTCAAATTAGAAACAGCAAAAACACATTTGATTGGAACTGCAAAGGATTGGTTTAATGGAAACGCAGGAATGATCAAGACATTTTCTGATTTCAAATTTAAATTTGGTAAAACATTCAACGTCCGTGAAAGCAAGACTCAGTTATGGAGAGAAATGGAAAAAAGTGTTCAAGGTAGAAAATCACTATTCTCATATTTCCACTACAAAGTTAAACTGTGCAAGGACTTGAACTTGGATTTTGATGAGATCAAAGAGCAAGTGGTAATAGGCTTGGCAAATAAGCAAATAATTCCTGGTTTGCTAGCAGCTGCTCATGTAGATGAAGATGCTCTTCTACATGATATTCATGAATTTGATAGAATCCATTGTCAAGCACAAGGACGGCATTTTCCTGGGAGTTATAAGACATTTTCTAGAAACTCGAATGGATTAAATGAACAAGATTCTTCAAGCAGTTCCGCGCCAGAAAGAGTCGGAAAACAACCAGAGTTTTCGAACAGTAATCCTAGAATAGAAGAAAAGGAAACAAGGAAACTCACCTGCTATAAATGCAAAGGTGAGGGACATCTCCGGAGAGATTGCCCTTCTAAAAACGAACCATCCGATTCAGGCAGCAGAGAAAAAATTACACAATCGCTAATTAATCTGGAGGAAAACTGTAATAATTCTATTGAGAAATTCATACGGGAAATTAAAATTGATAGACATCTCCAAGTAGCAGCTCTCATTGATCCTGGTAGTGCTGTGTGTACCATACGAGAAAGTTTGGTAACTAGTGGACAATTGATCAGTATAGATTCCAGTAGAAAACTGTTTGGTTTTGGACAAGAAAATCCAGTTAATTGTCAAAAGAAGGTTATTGTTGAAATATCCATGGATGATATTGTTGTTGAAAATGTCGATTTATGGGTTGTTCCAGATTTTGCCCAAAATATGGATGTTTTGCTAGGAAGAACTTTCACTGAGTTAAATTGTCTTGCTTATTATAGACTAGGAAATGCGTTGATATTTAAATACGCAAATGAAAACCCGTTTTGCCAGTGGCAGCTTTGCGATAATGATTCCAATCATGTCTGTTCACAGGATGATACAACTATATTGAAAGATACTGTGGGTTTTGTAAATAGTACATGCAATGGGGTTGACTTACAAGTTTCTATAGTGAACAATTCTAGGAAAGACTGTCAAATTATGAAAGGAGATAATCTATTTTGCATTAATGAAATTGACATGAATGATGAAAATTCATTCGCAAAACCAAAAGAACCTCTTACAGATGATATGATCAATGTGGACTCTGATATTTCAAATAGTTGTTTTGAAAAATTGTTGAAGTTGGTGAATGAATTTCGAGACACCTTTGCTTTGAACTTGAAGGAACTTGGTTGTACGAAGGTGGCTCAGATGGACATTATAGATAACAATATTCCCGTTCGAGCAAGACCATACAAAACGACTCCAGACGATCGTATGGAAATTTCTAGAATCGTTCAAGAATGGAAGGATGTTGGGATTGTCAAAGAAACAAGTTCGGCTTATGCGAGTCCAGTTTTCCGTGTAGGCAAGAAGAATGGTGAAAAACGTCTCGTTGTTGATTTCCGTAAACTGAATAAACAAACTATTAAAATGAATTTTCCTATTCCACAGATTGACGAGCAATTTGAAGGATTAAGTGGCTGTTGTTTATTCTCTACTCTGGACTTAGCTAGTGGATACCTTCAAGTTCCTTTATCCGAGAGTGCACAGGAAAAAACAGCTTTCATAACAAATGATGATACTGGGCAATTCACGAGAATGGTTTTTGGATTGAGTAACGCTCCATTTGAATTCGTTCGTATGATGAATCTTGTTTTGAGAGATTTGCGTGGTAAAATATGTATGTGTTATCTTGATGACATACTAGTTCCTGCTAAAGATTGGGATGATATGTTGGATAGACTTCGACTTGTGTTTGAGGCATTCAAGAAAGCGAATCTGACGATGAATATCAAGAAATGCGTTTTTGGCAGTCGACAAGTACCTTATTTAGGATTCATTGTTTCTAAAGAAGGACTACAGCCGGGTGAGAGTAAAATGAAGGCAATTCTTGATTTTCCTAGACCAGCAAATGTCCACGAAATCAGAAGATTCCTCGGTTTGACAGGATTTTTCAGAAGATTTATAGAAAGATATGCTATTATTGCTAAGCCTTTAACAAATTTAACAAAGAAAAATTCTGAATTTATTTGGAATGATGATTCTTCACAAGCTTTTGAATCATTGAAAGAACGATTGATTATGGCACCGGTTTTGAAGCTTTACAATTGCAAGGACAGAACAGAATTACACACCGATGCTAGTGCAGTGGGAATAGCTGGGGTTCTTCTACAAGAAGACGACCAAGGAAAAATGCATTTGGTATATTGTGTTTCGAAAAAAAATACGGATGCGGAACAAAAATATCATTCTCACAAACTGGAACTCATGGCTATTGTTTGGTCCATAGAAAGACTACGAAGTATGTTACTAGGTATTCATTTTACAGTCGTCACTGATTGTCAAGCCTTAGTATACTTGAACTCTAAAAGATCATTAAAACCACAAATAGCACGTTGGTACGCAACTCTAATGGAATATGATTTTGAAATCAAATATAGGCCTGGTGAGAGAATGGCTCATGTTGATGCCCTTTCTCGAGCACCAGTAGAAGAAAACGACAATCTTTTTGAAGATATGAATGATAAATTCGGAGTTTTCGTTGTTATTGAAGAAGCAGACAAAATTCTTATGATACAAAGAAACGATGAAAACTTGGTCGAATTAATAAACATTTTGAAAAAGAGAACCGATGATATGACTAAAGAAGAAAAGAACAAAAGCAAAAATTATCATTTGGAGAATGGAAGATTATTTAGGTCAGTCAAAATAGGACAGGAGGACAGATGGCTTTATGTTATCCCTAATTCAATGCGAAAATCAATAGTTGTTAAATATCATGATATGGGCGGACACTTTTCGGTGGATAGGACCATGAGCAAGATATTAGAAACATGTTGGTTCAAGAACATGAGAAAATATGTGAGGAGACATATAAATGGATGTTTCGAATGTTTAACTGAAAAAACTCCAGGTGGTAAGAGACCTGGACGACTACATCCTATTCCGCCAACATTCAGGCCTATGGAGAGAATACATTTAGACCATCTCGGACCATTCGTGAAAAGTGAGAAAGGAAATTCATATGTCCTTGCTATCATCGACTCACTTACAAAATTCGTCCAGTTATATGCAGTAAAAACTACAACAGGAAAAGAAACAGTAATGATGTTAAAGAACTTTGTGCAGAAGTTTGGAATTCCAAGAATAGCAGTTACGGACAGAGGATCAGCTTTTACTTGCGGAGTATTCCAGAATTATTGCAAAGAAGCAGGTATACAGCATAATTTGATAGCTAGTCGCTGGGCACAAGCTAATGGCCAAATAGAAGTTATCAACAGGTTCTTACTTCCAGTTATCACCACTACCATGGATGACGAAGAGTCATGGGACAAAAATATTAAAAATGTGGAGAGACATTTGAATAACACAGTGAATGGAACTACGGGTAAAACACCGTTATGGTTATACACCACGTTATGAAGATGCGAAAATAGCGTATAATATTGCAAAAGAAATGTACCAGGAACCAGAGAAAATTCATGAAGATATAAGAGAAAAAATTGAAGAAAAACAGAAGAAATATAAGGATAGGTATGATTGTAAAAGATTTGAAGAATCTTATGAAGTAGGAGATATTGTCGTGATGAAGAGGGCTCATGTGTCCACTGGACAGCCAACTAAGACACAATCGAAGTACAGAGGACCTTTAGTGATCATTAAAATAATGGGAAATGATATATACAAAGTAGAAAGTCTAAATGTAGAAGAAGGAAATAAGTCTTTTTGTACTAATGCTCATATTTCACAGCTAAAAAGATACAGAAATGCTATTGAGGATGAGGAAATGAATGATGAGAGCAGTGATGAAGAGGATATTTTGGAAGGAACACCAATATTAGAAACTGAAATATTGTCTCAAGATCAGTGTGAACCATACGAAACTGAAAACGAATATGAAGAAGATCCGGACTATGTTCCAGACATCATAGAGGAGAAAAGTCCTGGAGAAGAAGAAGCATGTCTGAGACCAACGAGAAACCGGAGAAAGCCCAAGAAATTTGAAGATTTCATTACTGAATGAAGTTTTAGTTTTTTTATCACTTTTCTTTGTTTCAATTCAACTCGTTTTTGGGGACAAAAACCATAGTCAGGATGGACGAATGGTAACGGTAAAGTGTGCGAGGGTAGGATGTCAGGTTGACGAAAAAAAAAAAAAAATAAAGGAATTGTCAGTTAAAGAAAAACGACAGATTGTATTTTGCTAAAAAGATTATTAAAGTTTGATTAGTTCACACTATTGTGTATAATCTGTATCTTCGCTATTCGTGGCACTGTCTATAAAGGGTAGTTATCAATAGGTTCTCCTAAGTATACATAGCAAGGCACTATGCCAAATAATAAAACAAAAAACTTCCTTCTTCCTTCAGTTGACTGATTTTCCAAAACAAAAATTCCATAATGTAGTAGGTACTCAATAAGCTATCTTCAAAAATGTGGACAAATGTGAAATATTCAGATTATCAAGGTATACTTTTGTTTGCTGAAGGGGCCAAAATTTCAAAAAGAACTTTGGCATAACCGGTGAAGTAGTCATTCAATAAAGAAACACATCGATTACTTAAATACAAAGTTTCATCATTTTAACTATTACAGGAAGGATCTCTCGATTAGTCAAAAATTGATGAAATTAAAGTTGAAAATGCGATTTTAACATGGTATACTCTGTGTTCTTAATCATGATAAAGGTCGAAACGTGGATTTATAGTGTGGTTTTTCTTCAAATTCTTTCTTTCAAATTTGATGTTTATTTTACCTCAAGGCAATTCCAAATCCTTCTTCTACCTGTTTTCCACAGACTATTACTAGTACAGCTAGTTGTACTTTTTCTTGTGTCGGTCCAAACAATGTAGGGATTTTTGATTTTTCATCGGGAGATTTTGCAGCTTGGTCTGAAAATAAAAAATCTGCGCTATCAGAATTCAAATACAAGTGCCAGACATTTTATTATTAATCAACTCTGGACAACTGTGCATAAAAAATGATACAAATTCCTATCGATTGGAAGTTTCATTTTTAAGCAGGGACACTTACTATATTGTGGTTTTAATATGTCTTTTAGAACTTGTATTGGCTTAACATCTTGCCTCTCACAATTTGCAAGAAATTCGACCACCTCATTCTGTCTCCAAATAGTATTCATATGTTTATTCACGTCTTTAGAATTGATTTTCATCACCAATGAAGGGTTACTTATACCTTTTTCTTCAAAACTAGCCTTAGAAGCATTACTCAATTTTCGAACTACAAGAAAAATGAATAGTAATATCGTTTTTTTATTATTATTATTTATCACCTGTCGCCACTTCTACCCACTGTTCCTGTTCCAGACCTTGTTTGAGATGCTCTTCGGCTGTTAACAAAAAGTTCGTGTTACTCACTAGGTCCTTGAAGGTGTCAGCGTTTTCTTGATAAAATCGTATACAAGTCATAGCAGCTCTGATATAATCGCCCATGAATTGTTGTAGCTGGTACAGCGAATGTAGTAGCTTCTGTTTTTCCAAATGTCTACATATGCTACGGAGATATTCCTGGAGAATCATTTGAACAATTTACTAGATAGTTATAATACAATTCAAATTGAATACGGCCAAGTGAAGATGCTTAGGGAACCCCACAATAAACGTCTTACGTGAATTCGAATTTGAAGCTGATAAGTGGAGGAGCATAAAAATGTGGTGAGATTTGACAAAAACAGTTTGAAAATCTTCTAGATTTGTACTACATGAACGTACATTGGTCACATTGAGCAGGTTCTTATACAGCATATATTCTCGTCCTTTTAATTTCAGTTATGAGTTTGAAAATATGACGAACATTACTCCAAGGTCCTTGTGAAAATGGATAATATGAATTTGTGAAAAATCGAGATCTTTTTGATTCAATAATGACGCATAACACCATCCAAAATGATAGAATTTAAGGTATGCCCAATTTGGTTGCAATTACATAACTATTAACAGAAATGAAGAAGGGGCATTCAAAATGAGATAAGCTGTATGAACCATCAAAAAACACAAATTAGTTGCTAGCCTTTGAATGCCTCTTTCAGATTTTTATTTTTATTCTAGTATAATATCTACAAGGTAGCGCGAAAGTGATCACCCGATTTCCTAAGACTGCAACTTGCTTTGTAAGTAAGGGTTAACATTTGGCCACCAGATCGCGCTACTGAAACGTGAGGTCACAGTTGGTAGAACTGATAAATAATATACTTCTTCCTTTCGTATCATTTGGTCTCACGATGTCTTCTGTGTCAATGTAAAAATTGGTCGTTAAGTTCCACATTGAGATTAAAAAAACCAAAGTCTGCTCAAGCCTTTCCATAACAATTTTTCCAATATTCTTCTCCAATGTTCCCTTTTACTTAAGGTTGTGAAAGTCTGTGGCTTGTTCACTTGAACGTAAAACTTCGAATAACCATACAGAAAAAAATCAAAAAGTATATCTCCATATTGCATCACCAAAATGAAAAGTCAAGCGACCGCGAAATAATACGTGCAGAATTATCAATCCAGAATATTCGCATTTTCGAGCTTGAAGACTATTCATAACGCTCAATGACTTGTTTGCTTATCAAGGATATGATGACAGATGTCTATTCGTATAAACAGAACAGAGAACATCTTCCAATGGGGTGATTACTTTTACGCCTCCTATTACTAGCAATATTGAAACTTTTCAAGGTTAGAGTTAGTTGGATATCGGAGAAAGATTCGGAGAATATGAACAAACCTTCCACAGCTCTAAAGTTGAATCAATCAAAGAGATATGCTCATGCAAAATTCCAATGATACCATCTTTCAGACACCTCATGTAGATGTCGATGAAAACCTCCGTTCCCAACTGATTATCAATTATGTAGTTCAGCGCCAAGTCTATATCTCCGTGTTTCACGTAAAATTCGAGCAGCCCAGTGTGGCTGCCATATCTGCTCAGATAGTAAATACACTCATCGTAGAAAATCTTGTGAACAGGCGGTTTAGTGGCATTCGATTTCACCGGTTCCTGCTCCGCCTTTGGGTAGTAATTGCCCGCCGATATGTTCTTCAAGTTCTTGAGTTTATTCATTATAGATACGGCCGAATCTGTTTGAACATACGAACTGAAACTTTGGTTCAAAGTGTTCGTCGAGCTAGACAACTTTTGCTTAGCAGTTTCTCTTATGACTTCCGGATCGATGGGTCTGGTGTTCGATTCCAGAATGTGGATTATTTCCGTGAGCAAGGGTGGGTTTTTCGCAGGTTTCGATTCCGACAAGGCACTTATGTTCGAGACTTTCGACATGTTTCTGGATCTGCTCAGATTTTCGCTGCTATCACTGAGGACGCTATAGTCGGACAAATTGTCGTAGTGGCCTGTCCTGTCCAAGCATCTTTGGAATTTCTCCCTTGCTAGTATGAGACTGCCGGCTTTTAGACAGCTTTTGCCCCACACAGCGAAAACTCCTAAAAAATTAGATATTCATTATAAATTAACTACCCCTCATTATTGTTATTATTGCCTATAGAAGAATGTTTTTGGAACGACCGGGCATGAGGTAGCTAATTAGCAACGTAGGGCGTAATAGTAGGTTAGGTGAACGGGCGTTATTCAAGTAATTTCATTGGTTTTTTTTTCAGTAATATTTGATGGAGTTCCATTTCCTTCGACAGTGTTATCCACAATTTCGCTAAATCAATTTGAAATCGCCAGTAAATTCCACATTTACAGTGAATAAATGTCTAAGACGGTTGTGCGTAAGATGTATCTCGGGCGTATCTTTGCGAAGTATATTACCTACAAGCTGCGGTCCATTAACGCCCATTTTAATAACTTGATACATAAATATACCGTTTGTGGTTTCGCCGTGATGCAACAGAACGTACAGTAGCTTGCAGATTTCAGGAAATGGGCGTGTACACCTTAGTAGAACTTTTAAATCAAACCATGTTTATAATGATCCTTCTATACATAAATAATGATTGACGACATAATTCGATCGAAAAATTAACTGGAATGTTTCATTTTTGGAGATAAATAATAGTACCTTCTGAAAACGGACCCTCTTATGACGTAGAAACCTCATATCGCCATAGTTAAAAGAAAATACCAAACACCCGACGGCGACTGAAGCAACTGATATATTAATTCTTTCAACTGTGATCTCGCGCTAATTCACTGTGTCAGAAATCATGTATCATTCATCTCTGTCTGGAATAGTCTTGTTTCAGTATTAGGGTTTTGACGTCACATCATCTCCTCGTTTTCAGAGGTCCGAAAAGACGGGGATTTCAATAATTTTTTATAAAACGTAGGAAGCTCACAGCAAGAAACGGTTTGCAGTGGTGAGCTAGTTTGGGTGAGTTCTATGGAATTATGAAATAAATTTTTTTTGTGATATAAGCCCATTCACAAAAAAATATCTTTGCTTCAACAAACATATACCGTTTTTGAGAGGGTAAAAGTCGAATTTCTGAGTTAAACTAGTAACTGTTAGAATGGAAACGTAAACATTATTAAAGTACAACGATGAAGTTTTATATGTAATAGTAGTTCAACTAACAAGTGCGAAAAATAATACTTTTTCTCCGCTAACGCTAACTCGTCGTTTGGCAATCAGCAATCGCGTGCAGAAAAGTCACTTTAACGCATGTGTTAGGCACACTATTTTTTCTACTAGCGTGCGGAAAAAACTCAGATTTCGCTTGTCCGCACTCATTTTAGTTTTGAGTGCACGCTAGTAGAAAATGGTAATATTCAATGCTCATATCAATATGAGATATTTTTTGAATCACGAGGAAAGAATCATTCTTTCGTCATAACAACGAAGCTTTCATCGAAGTTTTTTTTTCTATAGACAAAAAATGAGGATAATAGGGGGTGGGGCATTAATAAGGAATAAGCCGTAGCTATCTCTCTACAATGGAGAAACTTTAGTTTTCTGATCGTTTTGTGGCGGTACTCATACAGTTTACGATTTTAAGAAGATTCTCAAAGGAACACCGGACACAAGATGAAATGCACCAATACAGTGGAAAGTTATGAAACACAGCAGATAATCAACATAATTTCACAATTTTGATTATTTTCATTATACAGGGTGTTTCAGATTTAAATGTACAAATGATACCTGTAGATAGGGGACACTTCGGTGGTTTCAATTCACCACCCATTGATATGTCTACCGTCTTTTATAACTGAGATACAGGACGTTATCTTTATTTTGGCAAAATCTTCATCTGGTTATAACTTTTGAATCACTTTGTATAATTTATCCATACTTGGTAGAAATATTCCACTTATATTACCCATCAAAACCATATAAAAATCCGGATCAGAATCTAGGTCCGTCTTGAGGAAAAACAGAAAACTTCTTTTATCTCAAAAACAACACCTTGAATGGCAAAATTTTGTAGGTCAGTTTTGATATTTGGAAAGAGCGGGAAAAAATGAAATAAGTGACCTACTTTTCACGAGTGCGCATCTAATTTGACAGATGGTTTATTATCAAGTTTTGAAATATTCAGCTCCATTTCGAGGCATTTTTATTGAACTTGTAATTCAAAATTCAATTTTAATATAAAAAAATAACAGTCTTCAAAGTTCAATATCATTAGAGTCAAATTAAGGTTTAGTAGGCTGTGCAAAAAAATCTGATATTCTGACAGGTCATAATCACTAGTGTGATGTTATTGGTAATGTTGAGATAATTATTTCTGGGTCTTGTATTGGGTTGTTACATTTCAAAGTGTTCGTAATTGTGCCTACAATAACTTTACCAATAATATCGCCGCAACTATAGTGATTATGAACTGTCAGAATTTTAATTTTTTCTTCACAGCCTACTTTACCGCAGCTTATGAATAAATAGTAAAGTATAAAATGAGTCCTCGAAAGTTTTTAAAATCATCGACAAATTATTCTGTCAAACAAACAAATTTCTCGATAGTTCACCTAATTTGACTCTAATGACGTTGAACTTTGGAGACTGTCATTTTTCTGTATAAAAATTGGGTTTTGAATTATGAGTTCAATTAAAATGCCTCGAAATGGGGCTGAATATTTCAAAACATGATAATAAACCATATTTCAAATTGGATGCGCACTCGTAAAAAGTAGGTCACATCATTCATTTTTTCCGCTCTTTCCAAATATCAAAACCGATCAATAAAATTTTGCCATACAGAGTGTTGTTTTTGAGATAAAAGAAGTTTTCTGTTTTTCTTCAAGACGGACCTGGATTCTGATCCAGATTTTCATTTGGTTTTGATGGGTAATATAAGTGAAATATTTCTACCAAGTATGGATAGATTATACAAAGTGGTTCAGAAGTTATAACCAGATGAAGATTATGCCAATATCAAGATAACGTCATGTATCTCAGTTATCAAAGACGGTAGACATATCGATGGGGGTGATTTGGAACCACCGAAGTGTCCTCTATCTACAGGTATCGTATGTACATTTAAGTCTGAAACACCCTGTATATGACATCTTTTAATGATGAGTTCCAACAGAATGAAATGCAAACAGTACCATATTTAAAACTCACCTGAATTGTCCAATCCAGCTTTTGTAGACACTTCTAATGCCAAGTTCCACTGTTCTCTTTCTAACAGCCTATCTCTCAATCTCCTCAATATCGAAGCATCAATATAGGGGCCTTGAGAATACGAACTGGACATCGGTAGCAGACTGAGACACCCCCTTTCGGCCAACAAACTCAGCAATTCGGCCTGAGATAGTATACGGTCTGCTAGAGAAGTTCCATAGTGCAAGGTACATTCTATAGATGACATTTTTGCGGCCATCGCCAGTGTTCTATAAATATTTTCGAATGTAGCGAATAGCATGTTAAGTTTGAAAAACTCAGGAGTTCTACCAAAAATATCTGAAAATTTGTTTGCTATGTCTCAAAATCTGAATTTACATGTTCATGTATTTGCTGTTTTTGTAGCATTTAGGATTTATTCATTTCAAACAAGAGTAGCATTTATAACGTTTTTATTTCAGTGTTGGTTATCGATTACAACCAAAAAATAGCGTTAGAAACGTTGAACTTTGCTTTGATTAATTATTGTTATTAATAATTAATATTATTTATTATGTATTATTATCATTATTGTTATTTATGTGAATGATATTCGTTGTATATTAGGGTTTCCTATTTCAATAAAGATCTATCTATCTATCTATTAATATTGAAGGCGATATTACCGGCTTAATATTATAACTTCTGAACTTGGTGAGGAAATGATCACATCATTACATATGTAGTATTGTTTTGTAATTTTGAAATTTTCCCGCTTTTAATACTTATCTTGAAGTTGGTCATACTGATGCACTATCATGTCATTTATTAAATGTCAATATTCTGTGCCTATGATGGTTGACGCATGACAAGTTAGGTTAAGTCTCTCTTATGATTGACCCGCCATAGGTCGCGTGCAAGAACTGTCAGATGACCGACCCTGGAGGCAAAACATATTTGTTTACAAGTGATCGAAATAGTTTTCCACAATTATTTTGGCATATGAATCGTATTTTTCCGCTATTCATCAATTCGCTAATGCCATCACATTGTGCTGTTGTAAAATGCACAAAAACTGCAGCAAAAGATGAAGAAATCCGGATGGTACATTATGATTCAAAAGTAAGTACCTACTATATTCACTCACATAGTTTTCATTTTTGAAATTTGGTTATTTCTCTGATTTCTCATCGGAATTCCTTCTGCAATAGGATCAGCTAATAGAAATATACCTGAAATTTCTAGAATAATGCAAGAAGATTGGATTCATGCAATCAATCGAGGACTGGTCTGACATGCTGACAATCGTGTGTGTTGTAGACATTCTCAATCTATTAGCAGCATTAGCTTGAATTGCAGAAGTGGCAGAAGGCAGAAGGAATTTTAATAAGGAATGACAACATTTCATAATGATAACTATGTGAGATTACTATTTACCTGAAAAATCATATTCGCTAGTCTCTTGCTGCATTTTTTGTGCATTGTACAACAGCACAATGCGAAGGCATGCTTGAATTAATGAATAACGCAAGAAACACGATTCGTATGCCAAAATATTGTGAAAAACTATTTCAACCTTTTGATTCCTCTGTAACCAAATGAAAAAGTGAGGTTGTGTTTCAATAATTCACAGAAGAATGAGGTTGTGTTTCAATAATTCACAGAAGAATGAGGTTGTGTTTCGATATTTTGCCTCCAGGGTCGGTCTTCGTGCACGCGACCTATTCTGATGCATTATGTATTAATGAACAAAAAGTTGTTTGATGATAGAAATACAGTTTTTACGGAACAATATGTTTTTAATTCTACACATACAATTTTTTTTTCGTATTATTCAATGAATCCTAAGAACAAATGAAATTTTCTATTTTTTTGTTGTTGCTGCCATGGTGAAGTTATAAAATATCTGCATTAGATGGACTGAAAAATAGGGCTGTGGAATTTTCAACAGAAACTTGTTCTCGTCTTCCCATCGGGTTATTTGTATAGTATAGATGAGAATGTTAGCTACGTTATTAGCATATTCTGTTAGAATTTTTGATTGTAATTCAATACTACTTTGACTAAGACTGTCAATTTATTCATACTTACTTCAGCATTTTGATGACGAGTAGATAGTCAATTTCTTGAATAGGTTCTTGACTAGGTTGTAATAATTTCAATAGCACATTGCACTGATCCAGAAGAAACCTAAAAACAATAGATATAATCCTGCCGAAAATTAAAAAAAAAATTACTTTGGATAATCGACTGTTTTTGAATGATACTTCATCAGAGATAGACAAAGTGACACACTGGGTGCATGCTCATAGGAAAATTCTTCTCGTAGTATTTTATTGTGTTCTGGGTCATCTGTGAGTAGCCAATAGTCGTGTGCTATAGATTTTGTGGATATCGTGTCGTTAAGATCTGAGCTGGTAGATTCTCCCATGGTTTGGTGATAGCAAGTAGAGCATACACGAACTAAAATGTCACCGTATGTGGGAACCTGAAAAAGAAATAAAAATACTTAGTTAAACAGAATTTATTAAAAATAATGGAAAACATTGTTCAGTACCAAACAAATTATATCACCAAATGTAGGGAAGTACTCATCACCGACATAGAAATATCTCAGTAGTAAACCGCAGTACTTCGATCCCATACGAAATTCGATATGTATAGCCACAATGGATAGAAATAAATCGAACTATTTTGAAAGCAAAAACTGTCAGACACTCTAAATTTGCATGAACTGAATAATGATAATGCAATTCATTGATACAATATCATTGATACAGTTGACATCATCATTCGTCATAGATAAAATTATTTTTTGGGAATCCATCGGCTCGAAAAGTGATGTAACTAATTAGTCATTAGGGTGGTGAATCGAGCAAAGCATTAGTCTTATATTAGATTTCATCGCATACGGTCTACGTGTTTTAAGGTATAACTCGTATTATTTAAAAGTGACACATTGAAACTTTATCGTTCAGTTTAGTGATCATATTGCATCTGTGTGTGTGTGAAAGTTCACTGCTCCAATATGGAAAATCGGAATTTTGAAATATGGAGGTATTTATCACATGATGAATATTTTGCTTTGATTCATCACATAAAGAGTGTTTTCGAAATTGGTGTGATAAATAAAATGGAGTTGTATGAGACATAAATGACATGATAAATAACAATATTTTTGAAAATCCGGAAATATTAAAAAAGTCCTTGACACTTCCGGTGCTTCTGGTCTCGTTGAAAGCAAATGCTTGGGTTCGGCGATTTGTAACTCAATTCCAAGTTTCTACTCAAAATTGTACCAAATTCCAAGTGATAACTCAAAATTATACTCAATTCCGACAACATAGGATTAAGTATGATTTTGAGTTGTTACTCCGAACTAGATACTTGGAATTAAAATAATTTGATTCGGAGTTTGACATAAATCCAAGTTGTGATTCGGAATTGAGTATAATTCGCGATAGAAAATAACACGTTGCCCCACCTAACGGCAGCAACTTGAACACTTCTGAGCGGTTTGTTTTGATGATATGACCAATATGCACAAACTAAAAACAAATGTGAACCAATGAAAACAAAGTAAACATGCCGCTTTGACAGCTTTCAAGAACTTCGATAGATGGCGTACGCTTATTTTCTATCGCGAATAGCGAGTTGTTACTCGGACTTTGGTAGATACTAGGTGCGTTTTGTTGTGCCATAACTCAATCAGTTTCTTGGCATTGTACACTTTTTGTTGTGCACTCAAACCCATTTTCATTTTCATTTGCATTCCTTCTCATGAGAAGGGTTGAAAATTGGAATGACTTGTAATCGATTGTAACATGAGAATTGTCAGTTGAAAGAAAAAATTGTCAGCATCCATCGCATACCAGCTAATAAAAATGAATAGACATTATAGAGAACCGTAGAACGGAGAAATACCAAATATTGAGATTCAATATAGGTACGAACATTTCATGGCTCAGATGTCTGTGAGGATGAGTCCATAGCCACAGTATATCCTATAGATATAAAGATGAGGCAACAGAAGATCCAGATAATATGTTGAAGAGAAGACGGTTGTGGAATTTGTCCACAACTCTTCTATTGTTGGATGAATGTTCAACTCACAAACAGGAATTAGCTGATCCAACAATGAAAAATACTGCAAAGAGCAGAATGATGATAATGGTGGAATTGTTACATACCAGACTAATAAATTATGAAAGTAAGATTTCGTTCACTCAATCTATCACTTCCAAAAAGGTAAGGAAGTTCGACTAGATTAGTTTCTGGAATTCATGGAAGGAATAGGGAAAAAAATTTACCGTTATGTCTCAATGGAGACACGACAGGTACCCTTACGAGGAGAGAGTATCAACACTTGGCGTTTTTGCAGACGAGTTTTACGATTGCTGGGTTAGATATTTAGAAGAGTGTAATTCATTCCATACATCAATATAAATTCCCACCCCAACTTACCAGCATCCTTTGGAGAGAACAATTATAACAGACTACTCTACCGCATCTCCGACAGTGATGTCGTCTATTGAACATCGAAAACACCGTTTTCTGGCAACACATACACTCGAGCACCTCATTATTCGGCACCCAGTCCTCTTTCAATGGCACTTCTTCAGGCATAACGAAACTTCTGCTGTCCGAACCGAAATTCAACGAGTCCAAAGACTGCATCAGTTTGTGCTCAGGAGTACGCAACAGCCTAGGGTTAGGCTGAGTTATCACGCGAAAATCTAAGCTCTTCTCGGCGTATTTCCTGAGCACCTCGTCTATTTTTTCCACGGAGAGCCTTTCTTCGCTGAACTCGGTGTGCGATATTTCGCTTTTCAGAAAATTCAACACCGAGGCTAGCTTATCCAGTTTGGTATTCATAACGAGTATTTCTATGATATTGAGGGGGTCATGAATGAGGCAAAGTAGCTGTTCTTGTTCGTTCGGTGTGAAAGAAGAGAGCATCTTTAGGCTGACCTCGACATTTTTCAGCGAATCATCGTTCACGTTCCTCAACAAGTAGTCAGTGATGAACTTCAAGTGGTCGATTTGACGTAGAATTTTCAGTAAGTTATAGCAACAGTGTACAGTGTGATTGAAAGGTAGGGCGTCCAACAGGAGTTTGACGGATTCGTAGCAGTCTGATATTTCGAACATTCTCGAGATGTGTTCTTCGTCGACTTGTCGCAGTAGTTCTTCATTTGGTGCATGGATTTCAATGAAATCCAGTAAAACATTTATCTGCAATAATTAATCACAATAATACAGGGTGTCCCATAAGTCATGGATCAAAAGAAGTTGAGTGGAAGGGAGGGGGGGGGTCATTCGCAAGTAAAATGATAGTATATGTGGTTATCAAATTGTTGATGATTCAAATAAAGATATTCAATTTTTATGAAAAACGCGACTCCTTTGAGAAAAATTAATAACAGAATAGCTGTTTTGAATAACCCCATAAATTTTACCATTTTGGAATCTGTATTAAATGGCAACATTTTCTTATAATTGGTTATCTTTGTGGGGTATTTTTTAAATCTGCCAGCTGCATTTAAAAATTAACTCAAATATTATTTCATTCGATAAAAAAACTTCAGGAAAACAACATTTTTCTCAAGTTATTGATGAGAAGTAGTAGCACATGTCATGAAATTATTTCTGGGGAAAGGTGTTTCCAGTAAATGAAATTTGTGAAAGAAAAAATCACAAATGTGACATAGTTTTGATGTGATTAATTTTTATTATGGAAATGAAAAAAAAATCAATAACTTTTGAACCCTGTATCACATATTCTAGTTCAACATGTCGAAACCACTGCAATCTTAATGTCAAATGTAATTTTTTCGAATATTTTGAAGATGAAATCGTTATTTCAGTTTACATCGTGTATAAATGAGATGTGGTCAAAGCTTTTCACAATGAGTCACCGTGTCACCTGGTATATCAATTCAATATACGATAACTTATTTCGAGACCATACTCACCTCATTATTCGTCAATAATTTTAATATAATATTGTCTTTTTCATATTCACACATTTTGTAGGCTGTATACCATGTCTCCAAATCCAATATATTTTTCAACTGAAAATTGAAAATAATCAACATAACTCTTGCTTGTTTATATATGTATATTTTTTCAAATGGTAGCTGTATAAAAACTGCGAGTAATCGAAGATAATCAAAAATAAAAATTGAAAACAGCAAAAATTTGCATTTTTTTAATAATGAGGAAAATTAATATTAATGTCAATATACTCACTTTTTCACAAAGATTGATTTGCATAAGCCACATTTTCAGCTCTATAAGTTTTCCATCTTGCAGTCTTTCAAATTTTGTCATCTCTGCCTGTATAATCTCAATGCAAACTTGTCCGGGCCATTTCTTGATATTATCCAAGATAATATTGATCCTCAAGTTTCTGTTCCTCAAGAAGAAAACATATTTGAAATATTCATCTTCTAAACCGTCTTGTATCAAGTTCACCAAAACCATATCTATCAAATTGCCCAGAACTACGCTTTTTTTTATTTGACATTCCGGTATGCACAACAAGAACTCATATATGTTCTTCCAGTTTGTGGATTTATACGTATCTTCCAAAAGTTCTTCTCCAGTCTCGAAGCTATCGCTGGAACATTGAGAATGGTATGAACCAACGGTCCCCTCTTTTAGAACTTGTGAATTGACATAATCCGAAACTGTCTGTGCGTTTATCTCATTCTGCAGTGCAGTGATAATGATGTTGTTGTTGAATATTGCTTTCAATTGAACAATTTCACGTAGTTTCAAATAATTTAGAAAAACTTTCACGCGTACTTCACTTATGTCGATTTTCACACCTTCAACTTTGTACATTTCGTTCAAAACGAATGCAAGTAACCAGTTTCGTTTCTGAATGTACGTGATGATGCTCTTTGTAGGTGTGTACAGACTATTTTCTGGATACAGCTCTTCTTTTGTAACGTTTTCGTCCGTATGCAGGTTTATCGTCGGGAAGCAATTACCTACCACATGATACAGATAGTCTAGCTTCAATTTTCCAAAATATTTTTCGAACTCGCTGGGATCCAGACTTCCTTCGAATAATAGTTTGCCTATGAGTTCTGATCGGTTGAAGTAAAGCAGATCAAAGTAGGAAGTGTTTTTTCCCTTGGAGATTATTTCAGAGCTATTTCGTTCAATGTAAAGGACCCTTGAGAAGGCTCTGAGATAGTTATACAGTTTAGACAAATATCTGATATTATCAGTGACAGCACAAAATTCAGAGTTATCAAGACATAGTTTGTTCAATTTAAGCATTGATTTGTGACTAGAATGTTTGCTGTTGAAATATCCTGCTTCATTCGAGTTCAAATCTGTCATCAGTTCATTGTAAATAATTGCCAAATTATTGTAGAATTCTTCTTCCTTCTTATACTTGTCTATATCTACAAAGCGATTGGGCTGCAGTAAAATTTTTCCTGCTGGTATATTCTTCTTGATACCTATTTCTTTACAAAGCTCCAGAATTGTTTTACAGAAACTTGAATAATGCGACGTTATGCCACTGTTCAAAGTGTTATTTTCGAATGCCAGTTGCATCATAATTTCACAATCGTCATAAGCTTGAGATTGGGTGATAGCTAGATCTAACATATTCATAAAAATTTCATTTTCACCCAAAAAGTGTCCAAAAAAGTCATTTTTGTCAGACAAAGCTCTAACTGAGGCTTCAACTTCCTGGTTGAAGACAGTGGGATTGTTTTTGAAAAATTGTTCGATAATCTTATCTATTGCTAATTCCACATTGGATACCGATATTTTAGGGTTGACTCTGTGGATGGCTTTGATTTTTGAAACTTTCTTCAGTGTGTCTCTCAATTCCTTTATATTCTCGGCATATTCTATATCCGACCTCAACGATGAATTATTCAGAGGACAAATCTGCAAAAAGAATAAGTTACACCCTATATCAAATCAACTGGTGACACTGACAATAAGAGAAACGATAAAAATAATAATATGTTCGATATATGGGTCGTTTTCCTCACAAATTGTATTATGATCAGTTCTTGCATTTGGCCACCAGCATATAAAATCAACCTGACTCATGAAGAAACTTTCGAAATATCTGAATCATTGGATCCCAGTGATGTGCAAGATGTTTATGAGGAAGAAGAAATGATTAAAAAGCGAGATCTGGAAAAGCTTCAAATTGAAAAGCATCCTGATAAATATTACCGACTTCACCACAACCTCCCGAATGAAAATGACCATTTAATAGCTGCAGATGTAACTCTGAAGAAAAATAAAGTTTTTGAAACTTTTGACCCTGATGATGATTATTCACCTCCATGGAAAGCTGGTTTTGTTAAAAAAGATGGAAATTTCATAGATGTAAGTAGGTTACATGCCAACTAAATTATTGATAGAGTTGAAGATAAAATATTTGGTATTATCGTGTTCACTAATGAGTTGACTGGGCAGTCAGAACTGACTAACTCTAGCATGGGAACCAGCACATACAGAGTACGAGAACAATGAAAAGGCAGACTCACTTGCCCGAGCAGGAGCAAACAAAGCTCAGAATGGCCCAGAACCCTTCTGTGGTATTGCGAAAGCTAAACAAAAGACTAGTATCAAATCATGGATGCAAACCAAATCTCAAGAATCGTGGAACAATTCGCCAGGTATGAGACAGGCAAAAGAGTTTATTAAAAAACCATCGCCAACATTCACAGAATATCTACTGAGCCAGAAACGAAGTTCAACTAGAATACTAGTGGGACTTCTCACAGGGCAGTGTAGGCTCAACAAACACATGAGTCTGTCTGGAAGAAGAGGAAACAGCAGTACACATACTTTGCCACTGTGAGGGCATGTCAAGACAAAGGTTCCTTACGCTGGGTGAGGAAAAACCAGAAGCTCAAAGATACATAGGGGATCTGAAAGCTAGCCTATGGAGTCTCATAGAGAAGGCGGGGCTAGCCGAAGTACTCTAATCGATTTTGAGGGCAGACACAATAGATCTGAAAAGATCGCGGTGTGGAGGCAGATAGTCCGAAGACCCCATACTGAATCTAATCTAATCTAATGATTTGTCTGGGATTGTTCAAATTTTTGACTAGAAATCGATTCTTTTACATGGTAGAAATCACATTATATTGTGATAAGTTTGAAAAATAATAATATAGCAATCCATCAAAAACAGTAGGAAGGCTGTTATAGTCTGCATATATAAAATATACCTACCTACCTACTCAATTTTGGTATAAAAAATATTGTCTATACAGGGTGTTTTTCTACTAATTGAAAATATTTCAACTATACAATTTTGAACTCAAAATATGAAGATCTAACTCACAACACCTAGATAAAATCTGTCTCCTGTCTGAGTTACAGTGTGTTTTATAAGAAAATTCAAAGATTATTTGTGCCAAGTACTTCTCGGAAGTAATTGACGTATCATTGTCATATTTGACGGGAAGTATAGATACTATACTGAATTAAGTAAAATATACGTTTATGGCTACTACCAGAGGCGTAAGACAGGGCCAAGTCCCGAGTGGCTGGTTGATCCTTCCCAAATTCTACGCCACTGGCAATTGCCATTTTATCACCATTTTTAGATTTTCTGTTAACGGGTTTGCATTTCAACGTTTCTGAACCGATTTTGATCTCCGTTTTCAAACAAAGGGAATTTATTTTCCATTTTGATTATTTCGACAAATAATGTTAAATGTCACTAATGTCAGTGACAAGTTGACTTTCATGACTATCTTGGTTGATTGTAAAAGGGGATGAATGATGAATTCGCTGACACTTTCTTCATTGCAAAACCTTATTCTTGATATACCTTCGATCATATATACATTAAAATCAAAATAATTGTGCAGCTTTATGAAATATCTCGAAAAATAATGACCTTATCGCTATGAAGAAGGAGTACGATATTTACGTAGAAATTATTGGAGAATCGAAAAATGATGATAAAATGGCATATTCCCCAGTGGCGTAGAATTTTATTTTACATAATTCAGTGGGGTGAGTAGTATCTACATTTCCCGTCAGATATGACAATGATACGTCAATTAGTTTCAAAGTACTTGACACGAATAATTTTTTTTTGAATCTTCAAACGAAGACACATTTTATCTAGGTGAATAGGGTTAAATTTTTATATATTTGTATATTCTGTAATCTTTTTCAGAATGAAGATATTATTTATTTCGGTGAAGACAGTAGAATTGTTGATTATATTGAGAAGGAAAAAAGAGATAAGAAATCTGACAGTAAGGACGAGAACTATGATTATTCCAAACTCAAAGGAGAATATCAAGATGAAATGAAGAGTGCTATGCACTCTGATGAAACGTTGAATTACACAGAAGTCAAAGAAGACGAAAATTTAAAAGATTCAATTAAGAGTCTTGTGGTGAAAACCCCTAGAAATTGCACTGAAGAAGAGAAAAAAGGAATTGGTAAGCTAAACATACAATTATTCTTCTTGATACCTATATCTTAGGGATACACCAATAATTTTAGGTGAGTAGGTAGGTACATAAAATAATATATTGAAGTATAAGTGAATATTTAGGTCTTTAAAACACGCGCGATTCTTCGAGCACAACGGCGTAGCCAGTAGAAATAGAGCAAGTGTTTCAAAGACCAGCTATCCACGAATACTGTACGCTATTTTTTTTTTTCATTGACCTCTACAAGAATTCACATTGTAAGTTCTAATTTCCTCACGAAAAACCGACTATTCCAAATAATTTGTAAAATTTGTATATTGCTACTTCAAAGTTGGGAAACAAGTCCCCAGAAGTCAAAACTTGTGCGGTGTTAGGAAGAGCGTGACCTACAGCTACAGTGGAATCCGATAGCTGGATCCGAACCGACAGTACCTTCGCATCGTGAACGGTTATCTAGCGAATTTCAGCGCATAGACAAACTCTGCCACGGCGCAAATAATCTTCCTCAAATCTTCGAGTCAATATCTCGAAATGGTTTTGGAAGTTCTGACCCTCCTTATTAGTCGATATTCAAACCATACTGCACTGTAATAAGATCGAATTCATTCCTGGAGAAGATATCCACCTGGCTTTAAGAGCAGCAGAACTTTCGACATAAACAAATAAGCGTTTTTCGAACAATGAGATTTTTTGAGATTCATATTGATGCTGCTACGATCATGTGCTTGTGAAATTATGAATTCTTTATTCAGATGGATTGCCCCAGTCATTATCTCCCAGATGGACAGTTCTGATGGTGCTAACTCCTGGCCAGACAAACATACAGTGCTTTCGTTAAGTACTGAAAAAATTCATTTTTCGTCGACCTCTACAAAAAATCAAATTTTACGTTTTAATTTCCGAACGAAAAACCGACTATTTCCGAAGGCAAGTACTTTTCGTCCGCAAACACTTTTCGTCCGCAGCAGGGTTGCCAAATCTACTTAATTTTCAGTAGATCTCCTGATTTGCATATTGATCCACTGATTTACTGAAACATTTCATAAACTATTGAAAAATATTTAGAGATTTATTATAATTATAATCACATATATTATTATTAAACTTTGGTTAATCACATACACTTATGAATTATATGATATTTCGGCACGCTCTGTTCAAATTAATTTCACGAAATAAGTAATACATGTACTAATGATATGTATAAACCAAAAAAGGACAATACTTTGTCTAATTCAGATCAATTCTTCATATATCTATGTTATAACGTTTAATTTTTCTATTTGTTTTGTATTTCTGTTGTTCATTTTCACTATTCGTTCCTGTTCATTATATACTCAAACCTCATAAGTATAGGTTTATTTCATTATCCTTTCTTGGAATTCGTATTGCATAAAATAGATCTCAAACAGATCTATTTTAATCTACTGAATTTTCGACGACAAGGTATTCACTGATCATGGTTGAAATAAGTCATGAGTTTTATAAAAAGTCAAAAAAGTCTGACTTTTTGAAGTAATTCGGATTTTTTTGAATAAATTCATTTGAGAACAAATCAAATTCTATTTACTTGAACAAAATACAAGAACATCAAAAAAACTAAGTTCTAATTTCCGTTAAAAATCTCAAAGCATGACAATAAAATACTTAAAATATGCAATTTTTGCAATATAAACTGAGACTATTGAATGAATGGAAAATGATGTTTATACAAATTATATTACTCATTCACAATCTTCATTATAGAGGCGCTTTACAGTTATTTTCAATAAAATGCAACAATATCCATGGCGCGCCTACGGATTGGTGTCACCTTGGAAAGCAATTTTTCGATGCATTGCAAGAAATGAGTCCGGACATATTTATTCATATTGTGGTAATTTGTATTACTGGTGCAATTCTAGTGGTGACATTTTCGGAATTTCACGCATCATTAGATACATCTTACTTTTCTTGCCTTTCTCATAGTTTCTTCTACCCAACTCTTGACCCAACTCAAAACTCGGTGACAAGTAATACACACAATCTATGACAAAAAGACATTGCAAGCCGGTAATTCCGATTCAGCGTTGAAAAGCCTACATATATTATTTTTGCCGGAAATATGAATAATTGGAGCAATCAATTGCATGCAATGAAATATTGTAAACTGTAAAGCGGCTCTTAGAAAATTTTGTTTTCCGCGTGTGGTGCTTCACGGTTGTCAGTTGTCAGATGCCATCGAAAATTTCATTTTAAACTAGTTTAAATTGAAGGTAATAATGCGATTTGTTCCCATTTGATAAATTTTGGATCAATTCACGACTTATTTGGAAAAAGTCATTTGAATTAATTCACGAATTAAATCACTGACATAATTCATATGAATTAATTCATGCCAACCCTGTCACTGATGGAATGAAAATTGAACTGGCAACCCTGGTCCGCGCGCAGAGTGAGTTGACAACAACTGTCATTCGCTGTTGTCAAATCAATTATTCACGAAATCCGATAGATTTCAAGTGTGAATACCACCGTGATGTGAATATAAGTGTTTGAGGTCGACGAAAAAAATATAATAAGCACCTCAGCGAAAAACTGTCGATTGTCTCGTCTGATTTCTAGCCTCGGCTATCAATTTGCAGACTCGGCTACAATAGACAGTGTTAAGTCCTTGGTCCATAAATAATTATTATCGGTGCACTTTGGAGATCATATAGACATGCCTGTCAGATCGATGATTAAAACGTTGGCCATTCAGACTTCACGATTCTCGGGTCTTTGATGGTATTGTCGTGTGTTGCCGTGGTAATTTCATAGATAAAAGGCTTTTTTGAAAGTTGGAATTCAAGCTGAGGTGTTCTTAAATAAGCAAAATAGGGTACCAAAATTAATCTATGGTACCAATAGAAACATATTTTTTTAGGTATCTCTGCTATAGAATGTTTTCTGGAAGATCTTCACAAACCGAAGATGAGAAATCAAGTTGCAGATAAAATTATGAGGATTGTCATAATTTGGTTTTTGGTTTACATATTTATAGCACTACCTTGTTGGTGTCAATATGGTGAGGTATTCTTGAATTACCATAATCACAATTTACTAAAAAAATTAAAATGTTTCTAAAGTGGTAAAATGATTACATTATTCCAGATCGAGTTCCAAATCATACGAAATTTGTTGAAATTTAAAATCACATAACTATATACTGAATTCCATACTACTTCCTGATTACATCACATATACAGGGTGATTCATTGGGAAATGCGCTTACAATAAGGGTGGATGCAGGACACGGAGGTGCTTCTGAATGATCTATATTTCATGGGTCTATCATTCTTTAATCATAACTTATGAGTCATCCTATATATTTTTGTGATATTTGGTTCATATGTTCTTTGTTCACAGTGGTGACGATTGACATAATAAAAAAACCTTATTCCAAGTCCGGCATTGAAAAAATCAATATGTGGGTTTAGAGTGGCCAGCATAGCCTTGTGGTTAAGGCGTCAATGTTCTATCCACGTTGGATTACCGGTAGTGGGTTCGATTCCCACCACGACAGCAGACATTTTTCTGATGGCCTAAGAAAGTGTTTGGGATCACGCACGTTAAAAGGTAAGACCCCTGTCATTCCTTGCTCGCACAAGTCTCTTGAACACTTCTGAGGGTTGCTCGTAAGGGGGCAACTGAATGATGAATAAGAACAATTTTAGAGTTGAAACAACACACTGTATATATCAATATTTTGAAATTTCATTCACAACTTTGGTTGATTTGATTGTATTTGGTGTTTACACATACGACTTTTTTACCCATTATCCTGAGTCAAATCTAGATGGTTTGATAATGAGGTGGCACAACGTTCAAAAAATAATAATTTGTCTTCCACAAATGATTTAATTTCCATTTTTAATCCATAAAATCCTCAACTATTCTTTATTCTCCTTATTTTTGGATCCCAACCTGATTGAAAAACGAGAGGATATGTCCATATTTGGGACAAATTATCATTGAATAACTTTAATCAACCTGTATGTATTTGAAAATTATCAAAACAATTCTTTTTTGCACTACATTCAAAACAACAATTATAAAAATGAGGAACCATGCCCATTCCGAAAGAATTACCAAATACATTCACTCACTTTTTTTTTTCCTGCTCTCTTCAAATGTGTAAATTACATATTGAAATATTGATAAACAGGGTGTTGTTTGGAATCGAAACCTACTTATTTTTTCAAGGCCGGACTTGGAATAAGCGGGAATAAGACTGTTTTTTAAATCGTCACCACTGTGGACAAAGAATATACCTATGAACCAAACAAAACAAAATGTATAGTGTAGTTCATGAGTTATGATTTATTGAGGAATTGGGGAAAATTAATAAATCACCCTATATTTGTGTATCTTGTTGATAAAGAACAATGGGCCCATGAAATATCCATTATACCTAGGATTATACAGAAGCACTTCGGTGTCCTTCTTCTACCCTGACTGGCGTTTATGTACATTTTTGTTGTGAATTGAAGAGGCGGCGAGTGGAAAAATTGGAAAAACCATGAACCATAGTGTGGTTTATGTGTTTTTCATTAAATTTACTTACTGAATTACAATCGAGCATTTTTTTTGGGGGCCAAGTGAACTTTTTTTTAAAGTTTAAAATTTATAATTCGAATTTTGTTGCCAGGCAAGGCATTTTTTTTTTTCGTTTAATTTCCAGGCAACAAAATTCTGTTAAAAATCTCAAGTTCACTTTGCCAAAAAAAGGTCTCGTGGAATTATAAGTGACAAAACCAAGTAATATTGAAATAACAATATTGATCTAGGTTGGTGCTGCTGTTGCTTCCGTTGCAAATTTTGTAGACCAAGAGAAGAAATAGAAGATGTTAAGAAATTCTTTGTGAATAATCCAGCAGGAGTTTTTCACAACAAGGAAGGTGATATGGTTCAATATCAACCTACATTTTATGAAACATATGCACAGAGGATATTAGAACATGAATTGAAGGAATTGTAAGAAAATAATCTAAAGTACCTACCTACCTATTGTTACCTACCGATTTTTTCCATAAGATTAAACTGAGCTTTAAAATATTTGTATTTTTATTCACTTTCTATATAATTCTTGATACCTTCATCAATATCTATATGTTTAATAGATGAGAAACTTCACAGGGAGAATAATGAAGAGAAAATATCTATACCAGCTATCCATAGTATTCCAAACAAAGACATATTGAGAGTAATAAATATTTAGACAAGGAAATATTCTGGGGAAATATTCATCTGACGCCTCTATATTTCAACATGGCCATGTTGGTAGCACTAAAGAGTGAAAATAAAGAATAGAAAGATGGAAGAGGAGATAACTTTTCTCTCTCCTTCAAGATAGTGTATATACAGAGCTCAATTCAAAACCTAGTTTCCTGATGTCAGAAAAGATGACTGAAATATGACAATCAATTATCTAGAAATATTATAGTATTATTCTCAGTATTATTTTATAGATATCTCACCTTCATAACTTGAAATGCTCTCTCAAAGTCACCTTGTTTCAGGCACATCTGGATTAAAGACTCAGGAGGAGACAGCATATATTTCAATAGATTGTTCTCACATTTAACAGCTTTCTTTACATTTTCAATGAGTTCCATTCTCCACATACCATCAGCAACAAGATTGCTCAAGATCAACAATCTAGAATAATCTTCAGAGTCCTTCATATGGAAATATTTCAACTTGACTTGGTCAACTAATTCTTTCAACAAATATAGAATTAGCCTGATTTCATTTCTTTGGCAGATGAGCTCAATATTGAGCTGATTGCTATAATTGCTTTGGAAGTAATTTGAATGAATGAACAATAAAACAAAAATATTTTCTAAAACTTCCACTTGTGAGGAAATGTTTTGGATGCCAAGTAGTTCGGCTTTGATATTCTGGACTGCATGATGTATGTCCAAATTGGAAGATCTCATGATGCAGTTCAAAAGATTTCCTAGAATTCCAAAAATGACAAAGTTCATTGATTGTGTTTTACTGGTTACAATGAGACTCTCTTCTTTATGGATCCATTGTAGAATTTCCTTCCAATCAGAAGTTTTAAGGTCTAAATAATCTGAAAAGGTTTGTAGGCTGGTATTATTCTTCATCACACTGAGTAGATCATCTGTCTCAATTGAAGGTGATTTAGACTTAGCAAATTCTGCAAAATCAATAAAATATGAAATTTGCTCCACATACTCCCTCCAAAATGAATCCAAGTTCTCTATATTAATTCTCATCAGAAGAAATTTTGTCAATCCCACATCTATGCTAGTGGAATTAGTAGTTTCAACTAATCTGAGAATGGAAATGTCATTTGATATAGCTTTATCTGATATAACAAAATTGTCATCGGAAATTATATTGGTGAACCAGTGTTGCTTTTTCAGAACACAATAATCATAGAGTTTGGTGGGATTTTTGATATCAACATCTAGCACAGTCTTGTAGTATTCAATAAGTTTCTTCAACAGTTCCTCATTATTGAAGGCTAGCATAGATAAATATAAGATGTCCATATGAACTATTCCTTTGTTGGAGAGGTCGATTATTTTAGGAAACAAGTACTGCCATAGGTATCCACTTTCATTTTTATCATATTTATATTCACTCAGTTTCTTGTAAAGTTGATTGATCAGTTTTTTATGGTCATCAGTCTTTGATATCCTGTCTATTAGTCTCAACATTTCCTCCATGCTGAAATATCAACACTATTCAATTTGTTTATACACTTGTTTGTAATAAGAAGAGTAAAGTTTTATCATCAATAACAAATAGCAATAAACAGTAAACAGCTGATATGATATGACAGGATAGAACCGATAGAACAACAGAACTCAAACGTCCCTAACCTCTCCTGGTTTAATCTTCTGTTTTTTTCCTAGAATTAGGCAATCCAACGACCTGTCAAATAATTTCAAAATGGCGTCTGGTTGGCAAATAAACCAAAGTCAAGTTTGTTTACTTAAGAACTTTGTGGGTTTTGGAAGCCTCTTACAGTATTATTTCATCGAGTTTCGGCTAGATTTATTGTGAATAATGAAAACTCAGTATGATTTCAAAGAAAAAATTGCCAGTAACGTGAATTGTGGTGGATTGTGGAAGCAGTGCAGATCGGGACCATTTGCTGTTTTGTCACATTCCTACTGTAATACTGTGAAAAACTCTGAGCATTACCCACAGATGAAGGATCTATCAAGAAAAATAAGGGAAATGTGGATAGCAGCCATCAAGAGAAAGAATCAGCAACAGAATCAATCATAATAAACCAGAGGATATGTGTCAGACACTATTTTCATAACAGGTACCTAAGAAAAAGGATTTTAATATTATTTATATGTACCTACCTACTCTAGTGTTTCATCCTATGGAAAACTTATCTTTTTTTCATTTTGATGAAATAAACCAATACTCATTACTTTTAATGGACTTACATAGTTTGGAAACATCATGTTTCTAATACATAAATAAATCATCTACCTTGTAGGAGAACGTAGTGCCTGAAAGATGAGAATATCCAGCTTGGGTCCCATTGCAATATAATATGGGTCATCAATCTCTTGTCCATTCGAAATATGCAAGACTGATGTGAATCAAAAACTGAGAGCAGACAAAAGGTTCAAATCATGAATCAAGCATCAGAACCCAGAGACCTGGTATGTTCTCAAGAAAACACCTAATTACCTAATACTACTACTACATCATTTTTTATTTATTTTAGTATAATGAAGAAAGTGTCCTGGGAGATAAAGAAATAGAAGAGAAAATTGGTGAAAACAAGGTGAAAATTTACAACATTATAAGTACTTTTACAAATTACAGTTTGTTGTGATTTATTTTTATCATTTATAAATGTAAGACAAATAAAGTAAGTATATCAAAATAATTGTAATATTCATTAAATGAAAAATACATTGTATTATTCCACTATATTACAAAAGATCTACATGAGTCATGAAAAAAATCTTCATAGAACATTATAGTTATTCAGTGATCTGATTGAAACAATAATAAACAATGATTGAATGATATATTTAGTATGAATAGGTACATTTTTTTTTATAGAACATGTTGAATCAGAATTCACAAAACCATGCTGATTCTGGTGTACCTAAAATATCTACACATTCAAAATAGAACCCTTTATCACTGTCACAACTAGTCATAGGGGTTCCATCATCAGCACTTGAACACTCACACCAATAGTTAACTTCTGGTGAAATTAATATCCACTCAAAAGTCCAGGTATTATAACTTCAGCATGAAACTTCAAAGCAATTTGTGAATGTTGTTTCTTGGACATTGAAGATATAGTAGGGATTTTGTATTGAACCAGTCAGAGCAACTGTACCTATGGCCATTTCTGCTATTGGTATGATGGGCACAATCATGGTGAGAGTGGTGGCATGGGCCACAAAGCACATACATCAGTACATGAAACTGTTCCTTATTTCCTTGCCCAAGCCTCAGTTACTTATTAGCACAGAATCTGATTGTGAATATTTTACCTATAAAAAAATTGCATGAGATATACATGAATATGAGATAGGAAATATATTCAAAAATATATGAATAACATAATTTCATCATTCAAAATGTTCCTATCATGAAAGTTATTTAGGTATAGAAGTAAAAAGTTACCTTTCCAACTATGACATGAAAATCATACATCTTCCTGTCTACTTCCTGGACAAAAGTTGCTGAGAAATACTTGTGAACAACAAGGGTTTTGAATGCTCTCATTCGCTCATGAGGGTAGAAACTGTGGGTCACTATAAATAGTAGGAGAGTATAATTATGTGGTAGTCTAATCAGTCAGCAGTTTCAGATGTGAAGGGCTTAAATTCCTTGATCAACATCAGCTTCATCAGATATCTACAAACAAATAATGGTTGTATGATAGTTTCAGGAATGAAAATTTACTGGTTAGTTGAGAAAAATAGCCGAAAAAACAATAAATATTCATGTTTACCTCTGACCAACCTCTGGGTTTTCCTGCAATAACTTCTGGAAATATGAGCTCAGCATATTGAAGCACTGTTCAATTCAGCTCTGAGACTCCCTCAAACACCTGACACATAAAACTACCAGAATAATAGGGTGATTCGGGCAAAATACAATTTAATTACAAGTGATCTATAATCTTTGTTTGCCAACCAGACGCCATCTTGTCAGCTAAAATGTCACGTGGTTTGGATTGCCTTGGATAGTGCTCTGTGATCTATCTAACCTACTCAAGTCACATGGTTTTTAGCCAAGGTCTTTTAGCCAGTTATTCTCCTTCTCCATCTCACCTCAATCACTGCGGCATCTACTCGCTATCGCCTTTAGCCAGTGGCCTCTTTTCTCTTTTATTATTATTGTTTATAGATTGATTTTTAGAGTCTTCAGCAAAGTGTTTTGCACTTGCAAGTAGTTATAAGCATTTCACTTGCAAGTCTTGCAACTTGCAACAATTAAATATCAAATCAACCTATCAACATCATCAACCAGACAACAGGTGAGCATTATAATTTATAATTGAGGTATATCTTATCTCTAAAAAAAGTCAAATATTATCATTATTTTCAGAGCCCAAGACAGACCAATGATGGGTCATTGTTATTATTAGATAAATCAGAGGTGGATAGATATATCATCCTGGATAAATCATAAAAAAGCTAAAATGTCCACAAGATCATTGGTTTCTTTCATTGTGATATCATTAGCTGTGATTATATGTGATATTTGGTGTGAGTTAACCACTTATCATCTACTTTATATATATATACATATACTTACCTATACCCACTTATTATAATGCATGTTACATGAAATGGTATACCTAACTAAAACCTATACCAATCAATGAAATCAATATACAGGGTAACTCGCGGTCGATGGTACGTTAGACGTTTATGGAGAACGGGACATAGGATCATTCTGAAATTTTGGTTACTCACGTAGTTGCTCTTGGTCTATCGATCTAATATATTTTCAGCTCTGCGGCGTTGCCGCTTCTATCGAAAAGTAGCAACAACATTGTTATTTCAAATGGAACACCCTGTATTTTTTTGCATTTTCAGATTCTCTCTGAAAAGCTGATTTCATCGATGTATCACACTTGGGGTCTAGCGAAAATGATTACAGAGATATAGGGTGTGAAAAATCGACATTTTTCAACTTTAGGAATTTTTTTTGTCGAAACTATTCATTATTGGTCAAAACGGCTTACATGTCCCTATCTCAACTTTTGATTAACTATCTTCTTATATTAAATTGGGACATATACCGGGTGATCAAGATTCTGAATTCTGCAATTTTATACTGCATCATAATATCCAGAAACAAATTATACTTTTTATTTGGAATGAAAAAATTGGATGCACTTCCGGTCAAACCGTAAATGTCATATTTCGTCTGATACTAGCAAAATCATACACTTGTGCAATTAAATCTATGTACCAAATTTGATACATCCATTCATAATAGCAACGAAAATACAAGGGGTAAAATTGGTTCCGGGACACCCGGTATATTAAATATATAATATAATGAATCAAAGAAATAGTATAGTTTATACTTGATATACCTGCAAGTAGTGTTATTTGAGCAGCTACAGGACGTTGAAGTGCATCAGAGCGAAATAGTTTTAATCATCCTGTATACTTATTACATATCATAATTTGAATACCTCATTTGAAAAGGGCATTCATTTTTCACTAGGTTGAGTAATTATCATTGAAAAACCCGGACTAATCCAATTCAGAATGGAAAATAATCATAATTTTGAATTAGGTGGGGATGCATCAACAGCTCAACGGCAAAACCCATGGCAGCTAAACACGAACAAAAACGAGCAAGTCAACATTCAACAATCTGGAATTAATTCGAAAATAAGCACTACGCCATGGCCAGCATTAGGCACCAGAAACCAATATAACACCGCCCTTCGTAATGTAACCCAACCACCACTATGGGTACGTCCCAACAATGGTCCAAACTGGGTTAGAAATACTCCTTCCCCACAACAGAATCCCAACAATCCTTCGAATCAACAGAAAATCAATGCTCCATCTACTCAACAGAATCTCAATACTCAAAATATAAATAACAAACCTCAAAACCAGAATACTCTTTTCCTGAATAATGAAAGAGGCTCAACTTCAGGAGGTCCAAACAAAAATCCTCAGGGTATAATCAATACGAGAATGGGTAGTTCTAATATGAATCCATTGCCAACAGCAAACACTAATAACAATAAACCAGGTGGCGTGAATATGAACCAAAATACAGCTTGGTCCAATAATAATAATAGGATTGGTGCTGCTAATTCAAATAAGGGAACACAAAATAGCAATAATAGACCAAGTGGTATATCTTCAGGGTCAATGACAGCCGACAGAGAACCTGCTGATACGTTGAGTCAAGATAATAATAATAACGGCCCACAGAACGGTGATGTAGATGATAACGAGCTGAGAGAACTTGCAGAAGAATTATTGAGCCGAGATAGCAACAATGCTGCCCGGCATGTAACGATAAATCTACAAGCAATGACAACATCCAGATCGATGGCTGATCAGGCACCATTGCCGTAAGTACCTATATAGTTCAAATATTCTCATGAAATCCAAATTTTCAAGTGTCTTTATCCATTATCCAGGCTTCTTTCTATAAACGAGGCAGCTTTCGATATCCCATCTGTATCCAAAATGATGCAGCTCTACAATAATTACATATTGGAAGCCAACCAGAACGAGGTGTACACAGCTCAAGAGAAATTAGAAGAAAACGATCTACTTGATATAGTCATCGCAAGTCCAGTTATGCAACATGCAAGGAACTTTCTTTTGAGGAAAGGTGAGATCAAATTCCAAAATGGAGTCCGATTCAACGACCATCAGAACTTGAATTGCATCTATAGGTACACTCTCAGTTCATACACTGCTGCTATGATAGTTCAATCACACAGAATTCCACCCTTCTTGTTCTGTCCCTAAACAGAATTTCCAGTAGTTTTCAGAGCAACTTAGCTGGATTGGTAACCATATTATGAATCCCTACGGTAGAATCGATCAGTATAAGAAACAAAGTTAAAAAATTATACTTATTTGACTCGACCCCTTATTTTATTAAGGTTTTTGCGAGAGTCGATTTTTTGGTAGCAGGAATTTTTCACGGTGCATGTACCTGGTACCTGGATACCTACTTTGAATACGAATGTATTAGAGGAGCCATAGCTTCTAGAATATTGGGTGCATCAAAATGAAATTTATTATGGTTGGGTATGTGAAGAGGAAAGTTCTCGCATATTTTTCACTTTTCGTTATTCAAATGGAACTCCCTGTATATTATAACAATTTTGAAATTCTGAGACAATACTGGATCAGAATGTGATATTTTCAAAAGTTTGTACGCCTACATAATTTTTTTCGAGTCACTTTCAATATTGCATCTATGTGGCCATGATCGGACGTAAACATATCTAAGAACCTCAGGTGAGTTAATTATCATTATTATATTCACAACGTTTTAGTGACTAGTATGATAGATAGGAAGGAGACAAGTTGACATAATTACATTTCCGTGTCCTTCATTTTTTGACAAGTAATGTCCAAAAAATGATTTTTTTTACGAATCTAACAATAGTATAGATAGAATGATAGAATATAAATGTAATATCACTAAGGAACATACTGGATATTATTATTTATTCATTCACATTGTCATAATTTTCAAGTATGGCATAGATAGAGATGCTGCATAATATTTTGCAGTTATCTTCTTCCAGTCTTCATTGGAAAACAAAACAATCAAGTATCCACTCTTCACTTTGATAATACATTATATTGGATTTTATAAGATTGGTTGAAAATGACTGGTATTAAATTCTCGAGCACATGTTCATATTAACTTTTCTTCTTAATATGAGCTGTATACAGGGTGTTCCATTTCAAAATTCAAAACCGGAGACATTTCCCGTGAAACCCTAAGTGACCGGGAAGTGAAAACTTTCCATCCCCTTCACATACCATAAACCCATATTGAATTTTAATTTGTTACGCCGAATTTTATTAATGTTATGGCTTGTCTAATAGATTCTTTGATATCTGGTATTTCTGGTGATTAACATTATTTTGTTTCAGGTAAAATTGGCAGAGATCCCAAAGAATTTAGAGATCTTCTTCGGACAATATGGTTCAACATGTACTCAAGAGGTGGAGGGAGGATAGGGTCCAGTGGATTTGAACATGTCTTTCTGGCAGAGATAAAAAACAATGGTGTGTCTGGGTTGCACAACTGGCTCTACTTCAGTGCGGAAGAAAAAAAGAATAATGCCAATTATTTGGGTTACATGAAGAAAATCGATCTAGGAAATGTGAGAAGAGCAAATCATTGTTCTGATGGATCAAGATTGACTGTTTGTTTTTCAGAAAGGAGCAATACTGAAATACCACTTCAATTTCCATAGTATTGATAAACCTGTTGGATCAATGTTTATTGGCACTAGCCCAGAATTGGAAATGGCTCTCTATTCAACATGTTTCATTTTGAGGGCTGACAGAATCTGTCCCTTGAAGATGAATGGGAAGAGATTCATCATTAGGACGTACACCTATAGATACAGAGGAAAAAACATGATTGGCAGCGCTTTTCCAGAAATATGAATACAATTAATGTTTAGTAACTTTTTTAATGTTTTGTAATATTGTTATTTTGAATTTAATTTGACATAAAATTGAGAACTATAAATTATGTATTACTTTCAATCTCAAACCCAATCAAGTACCAGTCACCTGGTGGGTGGTGCCACCATTAGAACACCGTAGAAAAGTCGGCAACCTTTCATTTTTGTATAAATACTTCCATGGGAAATGTTCCTCAGAAATATCTGCTATCATTCCATCACTAGCAATACCAGTTAGACGAATTCGACAGGCCCAGTCAGCACATACTTTCGTTGTCAACCTTGAGATATGTCGAACAACACTTTACCAACACTCCTGCGTCAGTAGAACTGCAAAGCCTAGGAATTCTTTGCCAATGGAAGTATTCCCAAAAACTTATAATCACCAATAGTTCAAAAAAACTCCATACCTGTCTCCTCCCTATCCTCCCTAGGTACTTTTTTTATGTTCTGTTTCCAACGAAAAGGGATATCCTGTAATGTTCAGAGAACATCGTGAAAACCAAAGGAAATAAGGTAGGAATTGGTGTACTTCTTAAATTTCTGGAGGTTATATGCCTCGGGGAACACCTGCCTTGGTAATGTGTTCTAGAGCCTCGCTGTTCGTTGGATGAACGAGTCTGTGGAAAGAGATGTTCTGCAGGTCTCCAAAGTGACCACGAAGGGGTGCGAAGCCTCAACTCGACGGGTTAATCTCGAGGGGACTGCCAAGGGAGGAATAATTGTTGATATTTCAGAAGAGCATCGTCCATGAAAATATCTTTAAAATAGAGCCAGATCGCCCAACTTTTCTACGGTGTTCCAGAGAAGTGAGTGAGTTTGTGAGCGAGACATCACCCACGAGACGAATTGACCTTTTTTTGGACTGAATCCAACAGTTTCAGGGTATGTTTGGGTGCTGCACTCCAAATATGGAAACAGTATTCAAGGACAGGTCGGATCTGTTCCTTATAGATCATAAGCAGTTGACTGGACGCACGAGGTTCTTCGAACATTATAGGAATTTTCTTTCGTGCGCTCCAAGAGATTAACAAAATCGTGTCAAGTATGTTATTTTTTTTATCGCTTGGAGCGCACGTAAGGGAATCCCTATAATATAGGTCTACACATTTAGACCAAATTATTGACTTTCTGATCGGGTAGAAAATATATACATTTTCGTCAAATGAAGTTGTTCAATGCATTAGTTGTAGTAATGTCCTATCTGCAATCCTATTTTGTTATTGACTTGTTGATATGTTTGATAACACTCATTCTTCCTAGCAGGTTCGAGAGAATTAACAATGGCTGATGGATTTGAACACATCATTTAATGATAACTGAAACATGGAGATAAGGAACTGTTACTCAATATAAAATTATAAACGTTGGCTATAATCGCGCGCATAAGGTCAAATTATAACTTCGAAAACAATGATGAAAAGAATGTTAACGTAGTGGTTTCATGCATTCTAAAAATACTGAACAAGAATGTATTACAATGCTTCAAGAAAAATTCATAGATGTGGAAAATATTTGACGGATGTAAGATACAATGTGAATAGGAAATATCATAGTGAAGAAGTGTTTGGATTCAAGAGGAAAAATAAATATGTAGCTGAAGGTATAAAACCATACACAAACATGAAAGTTCTTCGTTTAAATTGTTCAATTTCCAGCACTTGACAATGAAGTTATTGATGCAAGATGTAGGGAAAGTAACTTTTATAGGCTGGTAACAGCTTATAGACAGCATGGACATAAGTATTCAGATATAAATCCAGTGTCCTTGGCAAAAAAAATCAGGCTAGTATACGTTACAATAATTTCACACTGTTACCTGGTGGACATCTTTCCATTAAATCAGATATGGAAGCATGGCATATAATCGTCAACTTTATATTTTTAGTGCCATACCAGATTTGGACATCAAGCGATATGGATTCAAGGAAAACGACAAAGTTCAGTTCGACAGTATTATTAATTCAACCAAAAAAGAAGGAACAATAAGTGAAGCTGTAGATTTTTTAAATAATGTTTATTGTAGAACTGTAGCAGCCGAATATATGCATTTAGAAGTGAGTAAACACCCCCGACACTGATGAAAGGGGCCGTTCTTTCAACGATCCAAATTAGCTACTAAAATCTAGATCAATCTAGGCGTTTCGTTCTTTTTATTTACTAAAATTATAGTCGATTAATTTTATGCAGAACGAAGAGGAAATTGATTGGCTCACTGAAGCATTAGAGAAGTTACCAACAACACCAGTCAAAGATACTAATAAAATTACCATCGCCACTGAACTACTAAAATCACAATCATTCGACAACTTTTTAGCGAAGAAATTCGTGAGTGTAAAAAGATATGGCGGAGAAGGGGCAGAAAGTATGATGGTTTTCTTCAGAGAAGTCTTCCAACTAGCCGCAGAAGGTAAAGCTGATCATATAGTTCAATCAACAAACCAAAGAAGGAAAAATTTGTATTTCGTGCAAGATAATTTATTCAATATTCGTAGCAGAGCGCTTTCGACTGTGCGTACTCATCAGGTCACAAAAATATCTATGGACTAATGACATTTAGGTAAAATACGTTAAAAACAGATTAAAATGTGTTTCCCAAAAGGGGGTAAAATACGGATTACATTTTGTTAAGCAGCCATTGTCGCTGTGACATGTCGTGTTGAAGTGAACTTTTGATGAGTTCACGACATGACATGTCGCAGCGACAATGGCTGCTTTTAACAAAATGTAATCCGTATTTTACCCCCTTTTGGCAAACACATTTCAATTTGTTTGTAACGCATTTTACCATAATGTCGTTAGTTTTAAACTGGACAAAAGATATTTTTATGGACAAATTTCCCTGTTAACCTGACGAGTACGCACTGATGATGACTTAACAGTCGAAAGCGCTCTGCTACGAATATTGAATAAATAATTATCTTGAACGAAATACAAATCTTCCCTTCTTTGGTATATATACACGTGCACACAGCCCAGCAACCCTCACTCAATCAACAAACGCCAAAAAGGTCGAATAGGGAAAAAATCGAACAGAGTGGTAAAGGAAAGTGCCATGAACAACATACTAAAAGTCCTGAACCGTTGGGGATGAGCGGAACATATTTTTTCAAGATGTTCCTGAATATTTCGAAAATCGCGATCTCTAGCGAAAAAATAAAGCTGTACAAAAGTGAACCACATAAAATTTCCTATAAACATTTGTCTATTCGTTTTTCGTCTAGAATGAACAGGTTGTTATGAAATTCATGTTTAATGTCTCACTATTTTCTGGCGTATGAAATTTATACCTATAGGCTCTTCATCAAATATACAGGGCGAGTCATGAGGAACTGTACATAGTTCTACTACGAATAGATGCCCTTGAGGGAAATATTTTTTGACCATCAAAAAGTGTCTTCTTCTTTTCTTTATCAATGTATAGGGTGAATTATGAGATTTGACGAAAACATCTTTTGGTCATAACTTTCCAACAGCACCTACGATTCGTCTGATTTTTTTATGGAATATTTCTCTTTTTTCTACTAAACCCTGATCGACTGACATTTTCAAATTTGGGGAAATTCAGGACCGTTTTTGAAAAATTTGTTTATTCTTCATGACCCAGTACATCCTCTTCAGTTTCTAGGACCTAAAGTTCAACTTTAGCTCCTAGGAACTAAAGGCGTTGCCTAGCAATATACCTATGTTTTTGTCAGTAATAGAAACGTCAATTCAAGAGCTAATTTTGGTATCAAAATAAACGACTTTTGTGTCCGTTGCAGAAAATGTTTTTTTTTCTGATATTAGCCATGTTGAATACTAACTTCATGATGTGAGACATTGAACATGAATTTCAAGCCATTCAACTCTATTTTTGATACTTCTAGATTTTTCTTCATCCCCTGTATCTCAGGAACTATTCATTATAGACGAAAATTTAATAGAAACATGTTCATAGGAAATTTTATGTTGTTCAATTTTGTATACACTCATTTTCCGCTAGAGGTCGCAATTGTCGAATTATTTAAGAACTTGAAAAAATTACCTACAAAGGTTTCCCTACTACCCCGCTCAACCCCTATGGGTTGAGACTTTCAGTATGTTGTTCCCCCTACCATTCTACAAAAATATGAGACTGCACGATTTTTCTCCCATTTTTTGTTCGTTTATTGAACCATCATATGATTTGATCATTTGGTGAAACATTTTAAATTTTTTCAGACGATATTCAACAAATAGTGCTAGCAATGCCTCACAGAGGGCGACTGAATTTATTGACTGGCCTTTTGAACTTCCCACCTGTGGAAATATTCGCCAAACTCAAAGGTTTATCAGACATTCCAGATAAGTACAAAGCTACAGGCGATGTGTTGAGCCACTGCAGTGAGTGAACCAGTGAAATGATTTAAAGAAAAATACATACTTTCAAACATTTCAGTTTCTTCTGCAGACCTGTCTTATGCAGGAAAGTCGGTCCATGTCTCTCTTCTCTATAATCCTTCACATTTAGAAGCCGTCAATCCAGTTTCCATGGGAAAAACCAGGGCCAAACAAATGATTTGGGGAGATGGAGACTATGGAGCTGATACGAGATGGGCAGATAAAATTATGAACATACAGGTAAACAATACATTACCGGTTGACCCGGAACCAATTACTCCCTTTGTCTCTTCGTTTTTCTGAAAGGATGTTTCAAATTTGATTGTATGATGTATGATTTTGCTAGTATCACACGAAATATGTAACTTCCGGTTTGACAGGGAGTGCATCCAACTTTTTTATTTCAAATACAAAATATAATTTTTTTCTGGATATTACCATTTGGTATAAAATCACCTTTCTGACGATATATCTCAATCATATTTTCAATCCACAATCTAGTCATATAATCGAGATTTTACAAAAAAATACTTTTTGTATGATGAAATATATTTTTTCTGCAACCGACACAAAAGTCGTCCATTTTGATACCAAAATAAGCTCTTAAATTGACGTTTCTATTACTGACACAGAAATAGGTATGTTGCTAGGCAACATATTTAGTTCCTAGGAGCTAAAGTTGAATTTTAGTTCCTAGGAGCTAAAGTTCAAGTTTAGCTCCTAGGAACTAAAAAGGATGTACTGGACGTCATCAAGAATAAACAACATTGTGACGGTTGGTTATTTGGGTTGAGACGCATACCTGATTTGTTTCCGATTTCAGCAGATTTGGCATTTCATACCCATGCTGGAGATAATTATAAATACACCTTATTATAGTTTAGTATTGGAATTATAAACATCTCAGTTGAGTATTCTTGTTTTGATCAGGGAAGCCTTCAAGATTCAAATACTTGCTTGATCTGTATTTCATTCGTTATTCTCGGGATGGATAACTTGTTTTTGAATAATCACGGTAAGCAATAGTTTTTTTTTGTCTCAAACAACAATATTGTTTAGCTTCATTTGATTATCAAGTCAAACACAGTGTAGTATGGAGAGGAATAAATAATCACTATTATCATTGTTGATATGCTCACTAACCTAACATTTTCCACGTCTTGTTCCTATAGCTGGCACTGGCGCGGTATTTGCCATTAGAGCATGTGGTCCATACACAAAAATGTCACTCTGTGGTTGTATTTATATTAAAACTACAATTCGAACATCCTAGAAAACCTAACCTGCTGTTAATGCAGGTAGAATATTCCCGCCACATAGATTATTTGTCAATATTTGTTGCATTGCATACATATGGCGCGGCATTGGCGGTTACTTCACATGTTTATTTGAGTTAATTGTTTCGGTTGCAGAAAAAATAGCATGTTTCATTCGGATCAAAAGTGACTTTGTTCGACTCGCAAATTTTGCTTTCGCTCGGCTTCGCTAAACGCTCCGCCTCGCAAATGCAAAATTCGCTTGTCAAACAAAGTGTCACTTTTGATCCTAATAAAAAAATCTACTATTTTCTCCAAGCGGCAGGGATAGTGGCTTTTTGCTGCCGCTCAACAGGCAGAAAAGGTGTACTTTTTCTGCCTAGGCAGTAAAAAGTTGTTGCTATGCAACGTTCCAAGGAATTCTAATGAAATCAGTAATCAAAATTGACACTGACATTGAGTGAACACACAATGATGGAGTTTTCAATAAAAAAATTACACAAAATTGGTTTTATATCATTTGAAGAAAAAATTGTATGTTTCACACGGCAGCAAATGTAGATCTACTACTTTTCTGCCTAGTAAAACAAATAACTATTTTTCAATGAAACTGTGCTATGGAAAATAAAACGATAGCATATGTTAATAACAATAATTCGATGTCAAAGTTCTTACACAATAATTTTTATGCGCATCAACTAGTTTTTACAATTTTAGTTTTTCTTTATGTATCAACACCAAAGAACTCATTATTTTTCTAAATGCTCTCATACAATTTTTTGAAGCTTGTTGAAAACTTCCATACATATTGAAATTCAAATTTTCTGTTTCCTATTTGGTTTTAATGAAGATAATTCCCATATATTGAATGGGCGTGTAGCGTGTACACCTTAGTAGAACTTTCAACTCAAACCATGTTTATAATGATCCTTTTATGCATAAATAATGATTGACGACATAATTCGATCAAAAAATTAACTGGAATGTTTTATTTTTGGATATAAATAATAGTACCTTCTGAAAACGGACCCTCTTATGACGTAGAAACCTCATCTCGCCATAGGTAAAAGAAAATACCAAACGCCCGACGGAGACTGAGGCAACTGATATATTAATTCTTTCAACTGTGATCTCGCGCTAATTCACTCTGTCAGAAATCATGTATCATTCATCTCTGTCTGGAATAGTCTTGTTTCAGTATTAGGGTTATGACGTCACATCATCGCCTCGTTTTCAGAGGTCCGAAAAATCGGGGATTTCAATAATTTTTTATAAAACGTAGGGAGCTCACAGCAAGAAACGGTTTGCGGTGGTGAGCTAGTTTGGGTGAGTTCTATCGAATAATGAAATGAAAATTTTTTGCGATATAAGCCCATTGAACCTTTCAACTTCATATCAGTTTTTGCTATGATATTGAATTTTTCCCATGGGTTAAGAAATATTATTGAAACTGGAAAATCTGACGAGATAAAATATTTAATTTGATAATTTTCCCACAAATTTCGAGGGGAATACAAAAAGTATTTTTTTTATAAAATCTCAATTAAATAAGTAGATTGAAGATTGAAAGTATAATTGTGATATATTGTTGGTGCTTGATGTACCTAAATTTGAAACATCCATACAAAATAGCAACGAATATACAGGGGTGTAAATTAGTTCCGGATCACCCGATAGAGTAAAATTACTTACACTGGTGACTGAAGGTTCATGGTGATGCTGCTATAATAGGCCAAGGTGTGAACCAAGAGTGTTTGAGTATGAGTGGCGTTCCGCATTTTGAAATAGGAGGGTCTATCCATCTAGTGGTTAATAACCAGTTGGGTTTCACAATGCCAGCTGAAAGAGGTCGGTCTTCAAGATACTGTACTGATATAGGGAAAATCATCTCCGCACCAGTAATCCATGTGAATGGAGATTATCCAGAGGTATCAAGGCATTCCGATGTTAAACTTAGTATACTAACAACTCATTCTAGGATGTCTTGAAAGTAACAAAATTGGCGTTTGATTATCATAGGAAATTCAGGAAGGAAATTTTCATAGATCTGAACTGTTATAGACGCTGGGGGCATAATGAACTGGATGATCCTACTTTTACTAATCCAAGTTTATACAGTATCATACGTTCCAAAGGGTAAGAGCAAACAAGTAATGTGTAACTTGTATATTTTGAAGATGATAATTATTTCAGAACTGTGCCAGATTTATATGCTGATAAACTTGTTGAAGAGAATATCATTAGAGAAGACGGTGTTAAGGACATTGTCGATAAACATCAAAGCTGGTTGAACGAGCATTTGAAAGCAGCAGAAAATTACACGCCAAGGGTAATGGAAATTCTTGTAATCAGATTATTCTTGTACACTTGGTATTTTTAGGACACTCATTTCAAAAGACAATGGGAGGGCTTTTCCCAAGCAGATGAAGCTGTCACCACCTGGGACACAGGAATTGATTTGGATATGATGACTTTTATTGGAAGTAAATCCGTGAAATGTCCTGCTAATTTTGTAAGAATTTCGAATACTAATGATAGTGAATCATAAATATATAGGGTGTCCCAGATAACGTCCGTATACTCCGAGAGGTGATTCTGCAGATGAAAATAAGAAAATATGTTTCTATCAAAATGTATCAGAAATGCTTCCCAAGGGCGCTAGACTCTTGAGCTAGAGTCAACAAATCGCGTTGAACTCTGATGAAGCAAAAATGAGTGGAAATGTGAAATTTGTATTAACAAGTTCTAAGTTTTTCATCATAGAAGCTCACGCGCTCGAAATGATTGTGATTTCTTTCAAAATGAAAAATCACAATTTTCTCGAAAACGGTTCGTTTTGCAGTATTCTAACAGGAATACATTTTCATATACAATTGTTTGGAAAACCACATATTTTGGTAGAAGAAATGAGATGAATCTTGAAACGAAAACAAAAAATTTGGGGCATTATCCCACTAAGCAGAGTTGAAAGCTATGTTGATGCAATGTCAAGATACAGCTGAGTATCATCAGCGGAATGCCTGTACTTTACATTGTTCTACTCCATTCAAAATATCGGCGGTGTTTAGTACTTTGACCCTATATAGTTATTTGGTACTTGTATTACCCTAGTACTTCGACCCTATACAGGCTGATTCACGGTGGATGGCACATTAGACGTTTCTGATGGTCAACCAGACAACGAATCACTTTGAATTTAATGGAGGGCATATTCGGACATTCTCTAGCCAACTGAAATATTTTCGACAATGCGGTGTTGCCGCTTCTATTAGAAAGCAGCAGCAACTTTTATTTTTCAAATGGAACACTCTGTATATAATATTATTGGAATCTCCAACAATTGCCCGACAACTTTTCTTGATATTTTCCTATACCTATCTGTCTTCGCAAGATTCTTTGAACCGATGAATATTTTATACCCAAATCTTCTCCAGCACTTCTTATCGATGACTCGGGAAATGCGTGAAAATATGCTAAGACATTAATCTGGTTGTCTTCAGAAGTTACGGGTCGAGGCAAGTTTCTTGGTGCTTTTAAAGTTGATCCAAATGATTCGGATACATTTCATTGAACTTTCCACATGTTCTGCTGATAATTTTATCACACTGTCCAAAAATAATAAACAAATTCATAAAAACTTCGTTTGAATAGTTTTGTTCCATCGTTTTGAAGGTATTTGCATCTTCTGAAGTGACGAAAATATCGATATTATTGGGAGAATGTCACAACGCTACTGTCAAATAGTAATCATTGCCTGCTTACCAAATACCGAATGGAAATACCATTCTGAAGGGACATTTTCACAAATAAATGCTCATGAGTCCGAAACTTGACTAGTTAGGTATAGGTATGATATACATAGGAAGGGAGCAAATTTCAGCAGGTTTCCGAATTTTCAATAATATACAGGGTGTTCCATTTAAAATAATCAAATTTCAGCAACTTTTTCAAGCAAACAAAAAAACTGTATTTTTTTACCACCCTGTATTGAAGTAACGGAGATTAGGCTGACGTGTGGAAAGTGTCCAAGTATCACCTAACTCCAAACCAAATTTCGATATCATAGTACTTCTTAACTAAAAGATATCGGCATTCTTAGAAGTCATGATTTTCGAAGAAAAAAATTGAAATTAATTTTTATTTCGAAAACGGTAACAGATAGGTATAGGGAAATATCATGAAAAGTTGTCGGGCAATGGTTGATATACAGAGTGTTCCATTTGAAAAATCAAAGTTGCTACTGCTTTCTAATAGAAGCGGCAACACCGCATTGTCAAAAATATTTTAGTTGGCTAGAAAATGTCCGAATATGCCCTCCATTAAATTTTCAAAGTGATCCGTTGTCTGGTTCACCAGAAACGTCTAATGTGCCATCCACCGTGAATCAGCCTGTATAGGCGGTATATATTATAAACAGTAAAGGACCCAGTATAGACCCTTGCGGGACACCTGAAAGAATGTCAAGTTCAGATGAGTAACAACCATCAACCAAAATCCTCTGGGAACGTCTGAGGAAGTAGTTCCATATTAAAAAAGCGGATTTATCATTGAAGCCATAAAATCTCAATTTAGCACAAAGCAGTTCATGACTAATCGTATCGAATGATGTTGATAAAAACATTTGTCATTATTTTCATCCGAAGAATTACCTCCTGGAGTATAGGAACGTTATTCTGGAACACCCTCTATTTCCATAGGAAGTTCATCCAAATTTACTGAGAACACATGTAAAAAATCGACTAAGTAAGGTAGCAGAAGGAACGAACATAGACTGGTCTACTGCTGAAACTTTGGCTTTAGGATCTCTATTATTCCAAGGTATGATACAATATTCGCAGAGTAATATAATTCGAATATTCATGGGTTTTGCAGGGCACAATGTGAGAATAAGTGGTCAAGATGTTGGTAGAGGAACTTTTTCTCATAGACACGTTATGTTGGTCGACCAACAAACAAGTAACACTTACGTACCTCTCAATCATCTCCATGCCGATCAAACTTGTTTTATTGAGGTTGCTAATAGCATTCTATCAGAGGAAGCAGTGCTGGGTTATGAATATGGCATGAGCATAGAAGATCCAAGGAACTTGATCATTTGGGAAGCTCAGTTTGGCGATTTTTTCAATGGAGCCCAGATTATTTTCGATACATTCATAAGTTCTGGAGAAAGTGAGTACTCAACCTAGCTGATCATTTCATCAGTTTGGTTGCACACAGAATATGATTGGTCTCGATGTGTTATGATCTAATTCAGATGTAGACCTTGAAATATCGGTAGTATGAATTAATCAGTTCGAATGCAGATGGCATTACATCTATCGGTAAAATCGATTCTGAATTCTATCTTAGTGACAGATCCATTTTGTCTTTTGTGGCATTCACATTCTTGAATGAATCTGTGTAAGTGAATATCATCTAGCAAACTAACGTTTCGAGAGTGGCACCATCAGGTGTTTATCCACTCCAAGTCGACATACTCAATCAAGTAGGTGAAGATCTCAAAGTTTTTAGTTCTTGATAAGAGGGGATGATACAGACACATATGGTATACCCTCTTTTCTCCTTTTTTCTAGCTATATTTCTGAAATTTGGATCATCGAATATGCTCCGAGAGTACACTTTCTCACATTTTAGCATTTTTTTTTCATCTTCGGGTTTTCCTAGAAATGACATCAACTTTTGATTCACTATTTAGGTACTGATATTTAATCGGAACAGATACAGGGTGGTTCAAGATTCAGAATTCTGACCACCACGCCAACCTCCTCCAGAACCTAACAAAAAATCCCCATCGTCTGTTACATCAAAGTAACCTAAATATCACTCTAATTCCAGCACAGCTATATTACCTACTTATATGTTCATAATAAGTAATAAAACATTATTACTTAGCTACTTACGGACACACAAAAAGATTTAAATTGGGAGCACTCTCACGTACGATCCAATTCGTGTGATTTTACCTAGAAAATTCTCTAATCTCCACATATCACATTCTTCTAGATTGTGTAAATCTGCGTAAATTAATACTCCGTTTTGTCTTGTATTTGAAAGATTGGGGTAATTCCATATCGAAATAAGATGTTGAAATCAAGATCAACTATACAATTCAAAAATAAGACGCACATTGCATAGTGCCACACAATAGATTACACTAAAATAAGAAAAGTTCCCATCAACACGGGTCCGCAAGGCCTTTGGTTTAAAGATAAGGGGTGTTAAATTTCATTGTTTTTTGTATCTTCAGCCGGAGACGCAATAAATGGATAAACTGTGGTATACAGGTTTTTTCTTCATGCTAAATTCAAATATGATCTTAGTTTTTGTGATTATTGATAGAGGGCGCTACATACAGGGTTTCATCCCTATTGAATCGGTCGTAACTTTTTTGCTATAGTCATAATATATAATCAAGTTATGAAAAAGATGTTACGAGTCCTGTCATTGAATAAAACATAATAGGAGGAACCAATAATATTATAGTTGATTCTCGACTTTTTTGACCAACCAGCATGTCCAAATATTTCTTATACTCCATAACAAATATCATGTAAATTTTGGAGACTTGGCAACATTGTACTGAATGCTGAGAACTGAAAAGACCACGCCCCAAGTCGAGCAATAAGCCACAATACATCAGGGAACATTTTGATACAATTGATTGTTCAATGTTAATTATGAATATTAATTAATTGACGATTTATAGCATTGAATAGCTAATATTTCTGAAGTTCCCAATCGTATTACAACATATGGAATCTGTGCTATGGTCTGCGCCTACTTACGAAATCGTGACGTCAGGTTTTACTCGCGGTAAATTTGTAGCCGTTTGAAAATTACCGTGGCAATATTGATGATATTGGCACCTTGAATTCGACCGAAAAAATCTGAAAAAATATGAAATTGAAAGGAATTTGAGTGATGATTCTATTTAACCCTCCAGTGACGTCGGTCTGAGAGACATTCAATATTTTTTTGATAAAAAAATATTGTATACAATCAAAATAGTGCCAGTTGATATGATTTTGCTAAAAGGAAACATCATTGAGAATCACACCATATTATTGAAAAAAATTCAATTCAATTCAAGACACTCTTCATCGGTCATACATGCATGAAATCATGTTATGACACATGTAGAATTCTCTGTTGTTCTGCTCCTAATATGGATGATTTCTGTTAAAAATAATATTCTATTTGTATAAGAATATATACCTTCGATTGAATACGCCCAATTTCACATAAAATGAATCAAAGGACGAAATAATAATATAGCAGATTTGTTATTTCACTTGTGACGTCGGCCTGACAGTCCGAAAACGATAACTACTGGCTTCGTGCAAACGCTAGCGCCATCTGGTTTACAGTGCGTGAAGAGTCCCAAAAAAGGTTAAGTTAGAGGAAAGCAGTAAAGGAGGGATTGCGCGACAGCGCCAAAATTCAAAAAATAGATTCTGGTCGGTCTGAGAGACAAATCACCACTACAGGGTTAAGAAATGAAAAAATATTAGTCCACTCGCCTATTCAACACGAACTTTTTTCTTATTTTAGTGACCTCTATTGTGTGGCACTTAGCAATGTACTTTTTTTCTATGTCACCCTGTATACACCTTGATATGAATACATTTTTGTTTTTTTTTCTGATTTGAGGTAAGTGGTTGTGGCAAAGCGGTTTGACAGTTCTTCTGCCGCACGGCTATGACGGCGCTGGACCAGAACACAGCTCATCCAGGATTGAAAGATTCCTTCAGTTGACGGATTCCAAAGAGGACAGGGCTGATGGTGATAACGTCAATCTTCAAGTGTGCCAGCCTAGCACGCCTGCACAATACTTCCACTTGTTGAGACGTCAGGTAAAAAACATCGACTCATCATCATCGTTGAATTTTTTATGCACTAGCGGGCGGTAAAGTGCACTTTATCGCCCAGATTTGCGGGCGTAAAGTGGTACTTTACCACCCGCGGGCCCATTATCGCCCACGAGCCATAAGGTGTACTTTGCCGCCCGCTGTTCTCAGTCCCAAGAACTCTCAGCTGATTCTATCGTTATGATTATGATACATGTTATTGTTCATCCGATTCCATCTTCACTATAACTTCCCTCTTTGAATAGTGGCTTTCTGGCTGTCTGAAGTTTTTGGCCAAAAGATGACAATTTCAGCTTGTTTTTTGGATGTATTGCTAGACAGCAACCATCAGATTGATTGACAACGTCAAATTTAGGTAGCTATATACTGGGTACACATATTGTTACATATCAAGGAATGAATCACTGTTAGTGAACAAATAGTTTTACTCTTACGATAATGGGGGAGACCACTGATTTTTCAAATCGACATTATCGTGAACTCTATACTGAAAAACTACCAGTGAATCAATTTTGAATTTTTTCATTCATGCTAGGACGATGAAAAAAATAAATTAGAATATGTCCATTTCAAAACACACAATTCCTGCGCCATTTGAAATTTTGTCAATTAATTGGTGTGACTGGTGCGACGTCTTAGTCCCAACACGCCTATTGTCCTTGAACTGACCAATCACACTGCAACACTGCAGAATGACGAGGTATCAGAGGGAGATAGCTACAGTTCGGGACTAATACGTCACGGCACCACCATCATATTTGGCTTTTTGAAATATCGAATGAAATATGCTGATTTCAAAACGATATAGATTCGATTCCCTTCAACTTCAACTCATAATATTGATTGTACATAAAACGTAAATCATGATTCGCTGATTGAAAGAGGTTTGCACGGATTTCTTTCCTCAGTGGTCTTCCCCATTGCGTACGGTTATTTTAATATGTAGATTACACACATAAACATTGCGCTTCTCTGGAAAACTGAATTTATGAGTAACATATGAATTGTAGTTTACCACTAGTGCATAAAATTTTGTATGTATCACGTGCGTAAAATGCGTGTATAGCCTTCGGCGTGTGATGGCCCTCGGCTAACGCCATCGGACCATTATTCACGCTGCATGCCATAAGCGCCTACTTTACGCCCTTAATACTTAAATAACTATTATATCGATATTATACATTGTGGTAATCTATAATGTAAACTACGCAACACTAATTTCGTCGCACCCCAAAATGTTGCTTCTGTTGAAATATGAATAACTTTTTTCTGCTTTGAACGATTTGATTTCGGATCACACTGTTCGCTAGGTCAGTCCTACAGCTATAATCTCTTAATTTTTAAAAAAATAAGGTTATTCACATAAAATCGCTACAGGGTGTTACCTGAAACTGTGCAAAATTTCGAAAATATCAAAAGTATCCCAAATGAAGAACTTTTTTTTTCGTATTTGACAGTAGAGGCATGTAGATGATCTAATTATCTTGGGACAGTTCTCGAATTGTCTCCTCATCTCTTTTATTTACAGAGTGATCTCAAAAAATTAACTTTTTGGTTTTGATGTCATAACTTTTTTCCTCGTCAACCGATTTTTGAAATCTCAGGCTCATTTTGAAGCTTAAACTTCAGATGAAGAAATATGAAGATCAGAATTGATTCAAGATGAATATTATACAGTGTGTCTCACTTCTAATGGAAGCACCCCTGTATCTTTCGTAATTGTTGAGTTAGGATTGAGTTGAGTCGTCTTCAGTGATATACACTGCTCGCCAACAGCCATGGAACCACCCACAAAAATGATTTTCCGGAAATTTGAGTGGTTCCATGACTGTTGGCGAGCAGTGTTCATCACTGGAGATGACTTCACTTGGTCGTAGTGTTTATTTTCAGTATTTCTCCCGCTCCTGTAAATTTCAGAATCCTAACTCAACAATTACGAAACATACAGGGCTGCTTCCATTAGAAGTGAAACACACTGTATAATGCTCATCCTGAGTCAATTCTTATCTTCATATCTCTTCATCTGAAGTTTCAGCTTCAAAATGAGATTTTAAAGAGGAAAGAAAAAAAGGAAAAAAGGAAAGGAAGGAAAAAAGTTATGACTGCAAAACCAGAAAGTTAATTTTTTGAGATCACTCTGTAATAAAAGAGATAAGAAGACAATTTGAAAAATATCCCTAGGTAATGAGATCATCGTCATGCCTCTGCTGTCGAAGTTGAAAAAAAAATAGTTTCTGTTCATTTGGGATCCTTTTGAAGATTCCGAAATTTTTCACAGTTTCAGGTGACACCCTGTAGCGATTTTATATGAAGAACCTCATGTTTTAAAGAACTACGAGATTATAGCTGAAAGACTTGGCTAGCAAACAGTGCAATCCGAATTCAAATTGTTCAAAGCAGAAAAAAGTTATTCATAATTTAACACGTACAAAATTTTGGGGTGCGACGAAATGAGTGTTGCGTAGTTTAATACAATCCGTATCTCTATAACAAAAATGTATTTCGAAAAATCCTCGGACAGATCGATTTTTATTTTTGAGAATCTAATTTTTTACGGGCGTACTCTCAACCACCTGTCAACCTCCTACCCTACAGATCAACCCCTTTAAATTCTTTAAATTGTACAAATGTTACACCTTGTTAGAGAGGTTTTTATATGTTGTGTATTTATTAAACACACTTTCATTATTTTATTTTCTACTTATTTTTAGTTTGGCTATCTATAAAAGCGTGTTTCTTTCGTGTTTTAAACTAACTATTTATTAATTTTGATGACTGATTTCAGATGATTCGTAACTTCAGGAAACCTTTGATTGTGATAACACCCAAAATTCTGTTGAGGAGTCCAGTGTGTACCTCAAATTTTTCTGATATGGCGCCTGGGACAAGCTTCAAAACAGTCATTGGTAAATTTTTCCAACGTTTCTCGCACTTGAATTAATATATGAACTTGTTTTCTTTTAGGTGATGCTTTGATGGTTCCTTCTAGAGTTAAGAAAGTGCTAATAACTTCAGGCAAGCATTATTATTCCTTGATTGAACGAAGAGAAAACATGGGGATAAAAGACACTGCTATAGTGAGAGTTGAATCATTCTGTCCTTTTCCAACATTGGAGTTGAGACACGAAGTGTCCAAATATCCCAATGCAAATGGTAAAGATTCATTTAGTTTGGATTCAGATAATATGAGATATACTGAAATTTGTAGTATATTAGGGATACAACGTGACAAAAATGAAACTTTTTGGATTTTTCCTTTTAGTGATAATTTGGTGCCAAGAAGAACCTCAGAACATGGGAGCTTGGACCTTCATGAAACCAAGATTTGAGAACCTTATAGGAAAAAAGGTATATTGAGTATTATGAAATTCAATATAGAGTTTACCGTCTTAGTAGATTCAAAGTAAAAATTCATTGAGTTTTGTAGATGAAGCAACTTTCACAAGTTGAAAAGAATTACACAAAATTCTCTCGAACTATAAACATACATAGGTACAGTCGTATTCAATAAAAAAGCGTACAAGTATTAGTTCTAGTTGTGTAAAACTGGCTCAGCCAATGCTTTGTGTTTTCGAGAACCTATGACAACTTTACTGTCAACATTTGATGGTGAACAATCATTCCCGAGAGCCCGTTTTATGCAGGATAGGATGACGTTAATTTCTCTCTGTAATATAATTATACGCTTTTTTTTAATGCGACTGTACATACAAAAAACTTTCAAATAATTGAATAATAGTCGATAAAATAATTATTGAGTTTTAATGCTTACTCACGTTTGGAAGTGTTGATTCTCTGCTGTATTTTTTTTTCATTATAAATTATTTTTAGATCTTGTACTGTGGAAGAGAACCAATAGCAGCGCCAGCTGTTGGTATAAGGGAATTACATCAACAACAAGTCAAAGATATATCAACAAAACCATTTCTTATGGAAACTAATTATAGATAAAAATTCATGGATATTTTATTGAAATAAAATTGATTTCAAAATAATAACCTCAGTTTATGGGTTATAGTGACTCATATCACCTAATTCCATCATATGATTACTTCAAGATTAAACCTCTGGTGTCGACATATTCTCAAGCAGGAACATATCTATACCAAACTGATATAATTAATATACAGTATAGAGTGTGTTTCAGATTAGACAGTCTGTATCTGATTATTCCGCATTCAGCTAGAGATTATTGAATACCAGCATTGTAATAATGGAATAACAAAAAGTATGATAATGATCGAGGTTCAATATTGAAATATCTCTAGATATGGAAGCTCAGAGATAAGTCAGTTATCAATCAAGATATTTCACCATCTCATTATTTTTGTTCCACAAAAAAAAACAACTATTTCTAGTAGGCTGATTTTTTCGTCACACCCTAGATCTAAACACACTCTCTGATGGATATTGAATAGTGTTTTCGAATGCGAAATATCGTATATTTTTTTGTTGTATATACCTTTTTTGTTTTGAATGACAGGTTATCCCCTTCGGAATATTGGCGTGCAGTATTCGCATCTCTTTTAAATGAATACCCGGTGTTACAATAATTATAGTGTGTATTTTTCATGAAATTTGCAGAGTGTAACAGTAACTCTACAGGGTATTACAAATTTCATGAAAAAACCACGCTATAATAATTGCTGAACCCGGTATGTATGAAAAAGAGGTTTTTATGCGAAAACTTCCGTATCGGACAAGTAGTTAATAAATGTATCTAAATTTTGGCTACTTTTTGGTGGTGCGTTAATTTCTTGTAGAAATGTATTATAAGTAAACAATTTGGCTCGATTTCAAATCAATAAAGATTATTTTATTTATTACTGAAGAAAAAAATATCAGGTAACGATAAGATTAACATTTGGAACTTCTATTTGTATTCTAACAATGGAAAAAATGTGCAAGCCCATACAATAAAACAAATTGAAAGAACAATGAAGCTCATTGACTTTTGCCGATCCCATGGAATCAAAATTTGTTTGGGTCCATTTTTTTTAACGCTTTTGGGAGCCTGAAATAAAATACAACCAATAAGTCATATAAAATCACTTTATTATATGATATTTTTCTTAGAATGAATGTTCAATGAATCTTGAGTACCTACTGAAATTTCATCGGAATATTTGACTCCACAGATTTTAGCAGTTAAGCACCTTGAAACAGTTTCCTAAAATGCTTTTTGATTTTGGTTGAATTGGACATATCCGATTACGATTCTGATTCCAAAATGGTTCAGACAGATGTCAACTATAAACATTGCTGCAGAAATACTTGATAAAGTTTAATTAATTTTCTGTCAGAATTTGACGATTAAATGAAGTGAAATGTATTTGCCAAACAATTATTAAATATTTTGTATTGACTTGGCCGTTATTTACTTGATGAAAATCAAAAGTAAAACACGACATATGTCCTCTAGTACAGAAGCTTCTTCTAGTGGAATACCATACAAAAAAATGTATTTTTTCTATGACGGGAAAATGGTTTGACATTGTATCTCTGTTTACAGGTTATAAAATGTCAGTTTTCTTAACTCACTTTTTTCCCGGATATAGTATAGTAGCTTCTTCTAGTGGAATACCATACAAAAAAAATGTATTTTTTCTGTGACGGGAAAAAAGTTTGGCATTTCATCTCTGTTGGCAGGTTATAAAATGTCACTTTTCATAAATTACTTTTTTCCCGTGGGACCATTAAATTCGCAATTTTTTGAAATCAAATCACAGAATTAGACTGACAGAAGTCACATCAGATATTTGATTACTTCAAAAGAATGATAAAGATGCCTACAACGCAGGCGTCCCTTTTGTTAAAAACTTAAAATTTCACGTCGATAATTTTCAGATTTCAAAATAATGTAATATCTTCTCAATATTGATTCGTACTTTCTTCTGTCACAGAAAAAAATAGTGTATTATACACGGGAAAAATATCAGATTTTAGATCTCGGTTTTTTGTCACAACCTGGAGCTAAAATCTACTACTTTTTTCCCTTGTATAATGAATAACTATTTTTCTATGACGGGAAAATGGTTTGACATTGTATCTCTGTTTACAGGTTATAAAATGTCAGTTTTCATAAATTACTTTTTTCCCGGATATACAGAGTGACCCATTTGAAAGCGGGACACCCCTGTATCTCACGTAATCGTTGGGTGGGGATCATTAAATTTGCTGGAGCGAGAGATATACCAAAAATGCACTCTATGACCAAGTGGGGTCATCTTCAGTGATATACACTGCTCGCCAACAGCCATGGAACCACCCCAATTTCCGGAAAATGATATTAGGAGTCAAAATAGGTTGAAAATCACTTCGGATTCGGAATCAGGACGCCCAATTCACTAACTCTTCATATTTTTCCTTGAAAATTTTCAGTTCTGAAAAATTAAATTTTGTCGCACTTTTCACGGAAGCACCCCCGTATCTCACGTAATTGACTTCATTTTTGGACTTTCCGTTCCTTCTGCAAATTTTAGAACCCTACCACAATAATTACGTGAGATACGGGGGTGCGCTTCCATGAAAAGTGCGACAAAATGTGATGTTTCAGAACTGAAAATTCTCAAGAAAAAATATGAATAGTTAGTGAATTGGGCGTCCTGTTTCCGAATCCGAAGTGATTTTCAACCTATTTTGACTCCTAATATCATTTTCAGGAAATTGGGATGGTTCCATGGCTGTTGGCGAGCAGTGTATATCACTGAAGATGACCCCCCCTTGGTTATAGAGTGCATTTTTGGTATATCTCTCGCTCCAGCAAATTTCATGATCCTTACCCAACGATTACGTGAGATACAGGGGTGTCCCGCTTTCAAATGGGTCACTCTGTATACAGGGTAATTCAGGTTTTAAGGTACAAACTGAAATGGGTGATAGGCCTCATCATTTCAATCAAAAAAGTTTATATAAACATGGGTCCCATCTCGATCAGTAGCGGGGGTACAAGGGGTTGCATTTTTTTTTCAATTGAAATATCTCGCTCACTTGAAATTGGGTGTGGTCAATACTTTCTAGAAGACCATTGAAAAATTTTGAAGATTTTCAAAATCTACAGGGTAATAATGCTCTTCAATTATTTTCTGAAAACGAACTGTTTTCGAGATGAATAAGCATAATTATCCGTAAAATAAATGCAAAAAGCTCAAAGTCATTTCCACACAGTGTTCATAAACTGAACAACAATGGTAGATTTCGGGAGAAAAACAACTACTTCCCTGGCTAATGCCACGCAGGATATTGAATTACATCCTCCCGAAATCTATGCATCGACTCGTATAAACGAATACTGATACAAGTGATTCTTTCCTGAATGCCTATTGATTTCGATTAAGCCAGGCCGCTAGACAACCACAGACCGGTTTCGAGCTCTTTGACTCTCATCAGTGCAGTGTAGTCTCCAGCCAGCAGTCCTAAGACCGCCGACTCAGCGAAGCCTAGCCAAACAAAAATCAAGTTGGCATTTTATCCACCCCGAGGCGTCTTTCATCGACAAAATGAAAGTAACGCCATCTGAGTAGAACAGAGGAAAGAATCACTCCAAAACTGAATTCAATATCCTGCGTGGCATTAGCCAGGGAAGTAGTTGTTTTTCTCCCGAAATCTACCATTGTTGTTCAGTTTATGAACACTGTGTGGAAATGACTTTGAGCTTTTTGCATTTATTTAACATATCATTCCACTTTGAGCATTGTGGCTATTTCGTAGTTTATAATTATCTGTTCTATGTTTGCCTATGTTTCGCTTGAATTTTATTCTTGGACAAAATTCGTTAAGAAGGCAATGAAAATGAAATTGCAATGTTTTTGAGAATGTGTCCAATCTGGAAAATTCGTGTTAAGCCACTGGTTGAGCCCCATCCAGTTGTATTCAATATCTTTTTCAATATCATTAAGGAAATTGAGAAATAATGTGGCATTCAACCTATCGGGAAGAATGTATGGTCCACAAAGGACACTAGGTATAAACACTTATGCCACATGTGAATTATGGTAATTTACCACCATACATCTGGTAAATGTGGCTCTATCAGTCCACAATGCATATATTTTGTAATATTCGCCATTGCCAATATTGGTAACGAATTTTGTCCAAAAATAAAATTCAATAGAAATAAATTGAAAGTAAAAAAAACTTTTTAATAAAAAGTTTTTATTTAAACGCTCTAAAAAGAATAAAATAATATTTTTCCGTCGACCTCGTATTAACGACTAAGTTTAATGTATATGAAATCGTTTATTAATGACCCCTATTAATAAACGATTTGTCTATTAATGCACGATTGTTTTATAGGCAACCAAACATACACCGCGTATTCATTGTTTATGCTATAACTTACGGAATCTGCATTTAAATCGAAAATATGGATTTCATCGACGATTTTCCGTTAATAACGGGTTCGCCTTTCCAAGTTCCTGACACGATTTTAATCCCTGTTTTCTAACACAAGGAATTTATTTCCTATGTTGATCATTTCGACAAATGTCAAATGTCACTAATGTCAGTAACAAGGCTACTGGGTGATTCTTAGCAGTTTCCGGATGGATGATGAATTCGCGAACCAAGTTTTCTTCATTGCAGGAGAAATGAGAAATATAGTCGACGGAAAAATTTTGTAACCAACATGTATATTAAAAGGCGATTAATGATCTCGAACATTAATGCGCTCGCTTCGCTCGCACGTTAAAATATCTCGATCATTAATCGCCCTCATTAATACACTAGTTGGTTAAATAACTATTTCTCAATGATTTTAACTATCAACTTATAACCTCATTATACACAATTTATATGATCATAAAAATTTGTCGCGCGATTCACTTGTGTGAATGAACTAGTACTTATTTAATTATGTAAAATCTGCTGAGATAAAATTTTTTCAATTACAATTTAATTAAATATTGATCATCGCGACAAGCTTTTATGATCATATAAATTGTGTATAATGATGTTATAAGTTGATAGTTAAAATTATTAGGAAAAATTTTATTTTCTTCTTTTTAGAGCGTTTAAATAAAAGCATTTTATTAAAAAGTTTTTTTTTTTACTTTTAATTTATTTTTTAATTTTTAGTTATCGCTAGCTAGATTTTTCGATTTACTCTCAACAAGCCTTTTCAATTGATACCCATATTGTAGAAGTATATTGAAAATGACCATTCCGCCATCTTGGATGGTCCGCCATAATGGATTTAGAATCACGTCACATCATTTTTCGAGTTACTCTCAACGAGCCTTTTCATTTGATACCCATATTGTAGAAGTATAATAAAAATATCTATTCCGCCATCTTGTATGGTCCGCCATATTGGATTTAGAATAACGTCACATTATTTTTCGAATTACTCTCAACGAGCCCTTTCATTTGATACCCATATTGTAGAAGTAGATTAAAAATGACCATTCCGCCACCTTGGATGGTCCGCCATATTCCAAGAATGACGTCACATCATTTTT